GATTCACTTTTCTGTAAACGGCCTGTTGGGAAGATGCCTTTTTACTATTCTGCCCTCACTAGACGATGAAGCTGGGTTCTAGCTTGGCAGATAGCTTAAAAGGTCCTCGATAAACATCCAGCAGTCAGCAGGGACGTTTTAGATATTTACTATAGAAGGCACTGTAAAACTGCAATACAGAAAAACAATTAATGAATAATGTTACATTTGTGATGTATTTATATGTATTTTATATTAATAAACACTTAATAATGAACTTTCATGTACTTTATATGTAAACCATAAAGATATAATAAAACAATCACAATTTTTTTTCCCCCAAGAACCTAGCGGTTAACTCAATGTTAACAATGTATGTAAAATCCCATAGACGGGCTAACGCATCAGCTTCACAACCGTTTTTACTAGAGATAAAACTTCCTCACACAAGATTCTCAACTGTTACATAAAACTATAATAAATATGCTCAACAGAACAAACATATATGACTTACAGGCATGTGCTCTTTTAGGCTTAGCAAGAAAAGATGAACCAATATGCAGAAAATATAACAGTTAGCTTAATGGTCATCTCCAGTTGAGAACAACTATGGCAAATCTTCCAGTACAAATTACGTACACACGCACGTGCATGCACATGCACACACAGAGCTAAATTTACATGTCTGCCTTAAAGGGGCGGCACATTCCTAAGAGGTCATTTGTTTTCTTTCTTTCTAAATATGTGGAAACAGTTGAATATTAGAAGCAAAGCTTCAGATAATGGATTATCTGCATCTTCCAGAAAACTATCAACTCAGATTTGGCTTTCAGTGATGGAGACCACAGAATGGATTGACCTGTGGCCCAGCAAACAACAAAACACTTGTTCTTCATTTTACTTTCCAGCTTTGCAGTAAAGAGAAGATAGAATAACATAAAATTCACTTTTTCTTTTTCCTGGAAAGCGTTTCAGTTACCCTTTCTTTTCTGTCCCATTAACTTTCCTCTGGTGTTGCCTGTCAGTACTGACGTTGATTGAAGCTGATGTGCTTTCTCCAGCCCATGAAACACACAAGAGGAGTTCTGCTCTCCTGCTTTCCTCAATCTTCAAAAAAATAAACAAATAAAATAAATAATAATATTAATTATAAATTATATATATATATATATATATATATATATATATATATATATATATATATATATATATATATATATGTAGTAATGACATATATATACTTTTTTTGTTTGTTTGTTTTTTCCAAAATGTAGGTATTTTATTGTTTCCCATTCCATGTCAAACTCAACATTATTCACTTACATATTTTGGTTCTAGATGAACATATTCTTACATATTACACATTAAACACACTTTTCCTTCAAAAGTGATGCAACAATCAATCACAGCAGTCCTCCTCTCTTTTGCACTGATGGGATATTGACAGACCATGACTTGTGAAATGAGTGATGGGTACTCTGACTAACCTTAAATCTATAGACCCACTTGTTAGCTGTCCATGTTGTTCGGAGTCAAAACATTTTTACAAGCACACAGTCAGTTTGATGATGCATACATCTATGGATTTTAGCTGGGATTGGAGCTTCTCTAGCACAATATTGCTATGCAACAGAGCTATTTATGTTCCAGTTTCATGCAGGAAGAATAATAATTCTTTACCCATCCACTCCAAACTTTCTTGCCTGCTCAAGGGAACTGCATTCCAAATTATGTTCAGAAACAGTGTTAATGACAGTGGAAGCATGACGTGATTATATAGGCTATAGGTGTCAATTTTAAAGTGACGGTGTGTATTTTCCCTGGAGATAAGGGGCAATACATACCTAAATCATTGCAAGCAAGCAGAATAAGTAATCATGGCTTTCCACTGGCTGTGAAAGCGGTTGCGTAACGTAATAGCGGTGTTCCACCTGCGAGCTCGTTCCTAACTGGGAGCTATTCTGACATGACACAGGAGCGAAAGCATTCCACACAGCTGACCCTGTGACATCACGTAATCACAAGAGAATTGCAACGCCACACGTGATTCCAGACGTCCACACACAATAATAAACAAGAAGAAAGACGGCTGCATGCATGAAAAAATGTCTGTGGGTTATTATCTGTTCTGTTCACATCCATTACAGAAATTCACAGGAAATGACGTAGTGCACGTGCCATTTATTTTTAAAGTTTTCGGATGTTCCACACCGCTTTTGGGTTTGACTTCCTGTCTGACCTGATCTTAACTGCGGAGTTTGACGTGTCTGGGAAGCGTAGCGCATCAAAATATACTCAAGGCATAATGATAGCGGGCCCTCGCTTCTGGGGGTGTGCATAAAGTCACACTTAGCTGCCGGTGGAAAGGAACTCATCCACTATAACCAAGGCTATTGCCGCGTATTACATTTCATGATGCTTTGTTGTGCAGTGGAAAGCCGGGGAAAGACCTTACCAACGGATTGCCATTAGGGTCAAAAATCCCTGGGAGCGCAACGTCCCGCAAAATGATAAACACATCAGATGTCCATTCATCACTGGCAGCGAGTGAAGTGGTAAATGTGTAAAACAACAATGCTGATGAATGGCAAAAGTTTTGTAAGCATTTGTTACAAATCAGTTAATGTGTTTTGTCCTAACAGGCTCCCGCAGAACGAAACATGATGTCTAATCTGGCATCGCCCAGAGACTTAAGCCTAATTTATACTTCTCCGCCAGCTCCACGAGGGAGACACGCACGCACGGACAGAGCCAATTTGCCCTCATACTTCTCCTGGGGAGTGTTGCAAAGCAGTTCCCCGCCAGGACAACAGAGGTCGTAGCGCTGTTCTGTGGTTTCCTGTCATGTGTCTGGTCCAATATAATTTTTGACACGGACAAATTTGTCACTCATCCTTCTCCACCTCTTCATGCACTTGCCACCTCTAAACCCACATTTCCCGTCATTTTTGTACACAAATAAAACGCTTGCTACATATTTTGTCATTCCTCCGGTCACGGGTGAAGAAAACTAATTATATTTTTAGAGTTTTTCCACGAAGTATTCTTCAAGTTGCTCCGTATCTGCCGCTAGATATCCTCTGCTCTTTATGTTTTTGAGGGCTGTCAATGACAGCAGCGTCCTGACCAATCACAAGCTTGCATCATCCGTCTCGACGGATGCATAATAGCGTTGCGTGCATCCATCTCGACGCAGATAGAGAAGTATAAATTAGGCTTTAGACCAACTTTTGTGTATTTTAGACCCGATTTTTATGGTTATATGTTACGAAGCCGCCAACATTTTTCAGCGACTGGGCATTATTTAATTCATTTTCAACATTTTGATTAACATTTCCAGAGATTAATTTGAAAAAATACACATTGTCTCTTTAAAGTAACACCGAGGAGTTTCCTGCTCCCCCACCCTACTGGTTAAAAGTGGAATTACAACTGTTGTAAAGAACCCTGCTGCAGCTTGCAGTAGGCGTAGTGTAGGTCACGCCGATGTTCACTTTGGTTTTAGCTCTTTGCTTCACCTCCAAAGACATTACGCTCTGTCTTTTACATCCAGGCTCCACCATGATGCAGAAAGAGCAAACTTCTTCTGTTTCTTCTTGTTGTGCTTTTTATCAGTGATCAACAAACTAAAAATGCTAAACGCTACTATTGCAGCTAACAGCAGGTGGAGATTACACCCTAGAACACCTACCTGCTCCACAAAACTAACAAGTGTGGTTATTGGTCAGCAGAGGGCTGAGTGGTGTCAAGCATGAAACTGGTCAAGTTTCTAACCCAACAATCACTGAGATCAATGTTAAAGCCCTAGCTTAAAGTTAAAAAAAAAACTATCTGTTGTTTCTTTAAAACTCAACTGTACAGCTAAATGGCTGCTATATCAGCTGAGGTTTAGTTTTCGGTGCTAATTTCATAATTTTGGAGACAAGTACTGGTTAAAAAAAGAGCTAACTTAATGCTAGCATGTTGAAATACAAAGTGACAGAGCCCAGGCTTGCCAGAGTGGGAAAAAATGCCATGTTCTCAAGCTAGATTAGTCTGATTTGTTACAGTCCTCTGGCATTCTGAACCATCCTGTGCTCTTCATTGCTTTCTAATTGTGTCTACTGTTTGTCTTCTAATTTTCCCTCCTCTTCTAGCCTTATTGTCAATGACTGTGGTTTTAGTGATTACATCTGGTGGTGCCACAAATTAATTCCTGCCTCTCTGGCAAAAAGCTGTTCTCCACCTGATTATGCAAAGCAGCCCTACATTCGCTCCCTTTGAAGTGGAGGAAAAGCTGCTTAGTGATTCTCCCCTTGAGGAAACTCTGCAATATGGAGAACATCAACAAACCAGGGTTCACACAAAGGTCAGCAATATAGTTAACCCCAATGAAGCTCCACTTCATCTCCTCATCTCGCCACTTCGGATTTGTCTTGCTTGTTGCAATGGCATAATGATGGCGCCGTTATCAGACTGGAGTCGTCTTTCAAAGACATGCAAAAAGTGGAGGGAAAAGTAGGGCAGTCCATAAAAATAGCAATATAAGTGCACTGAATATTGCTTGTGTCTATATGGCCAAGAAGAGTAGGTGGATGAAGCTGACAGAGAGCTCTGGCAGCTTCCCGATTTCAGCAATCATATCTTCAACTGCGTCTCATGAGGTCGCTCAGAAAAGTTTTAAATTTGGGAGGACACGAGTCTTCACACAGCTGCATTTGTTGTCAGCGTGAAATGTTCCAAAGGTAAACTTGAGCCCTGCTGTCTGCATTTACTTTCATTGCACCTCCGTTTTTGATCAGAGCAATTACAGACTAATGAAAATCTGCAACACTGCAATGAAACAGTGTCTTCTTTCTGCTCGAGCAGGACACAAGGGCAGCTCTTCAGGGTAATGACCCACTGCAAGTGATGATATGGCTGTCTCAATCACACCAAGAGGAGGTATGGTGTCATAACAGACCTATCATATGTAAGATTACTTATTTAAGTATGTATTAGAATACAGGTTCATCCAGAATAAAGTGATGCAATAAAGGAGGAGAGAATACAAACAAACGTTTATTACATCATCACTGCAAAAGATACCCAATTGTCACCTCTTTTGTATTATAAATGAAGTAAAGCTGTTGATCAAGTATTCAAATTTACTTACATTTTACATAAATTTGCAGTGGCCTTTAGTAAAAATGAATGCCTTGTAAGTCGTTCTCTGAGGAAAAAAAGCTCCGGTCCACTTGTTTGAGGACATACAATTTTGCTGGAGGAAAAAGTAGCTTCAGACGGCAGGATTTGGAGTCATTTCATATTTAGACATGTCACCTCTGATTGGCTAACAACAACACAACAGCACCACTGCCTCTGTTTGCTCTGTAACATTGATGTTTTATCTCCACAAACAACACAAGCCAGGAAGAGCTTAAGCCATGTGATTCAGCTGATAATGCTAACAAAGCCTGATTTATACTCCTCAGTCAGAACCATAGACATCAATACTGGACAATTAACTTCCATAGGCGCAAATTATAAGGGTCTTTGTTTCCGAAATAGGAGGTTCCCACCACCGCCATTTTGACAGTGTCACACGTCCCATCGCACCCAAACAATCCAAAAATGGGAAAAGAGGTGGAGCTGAGGGTGGGGCTGTTACATTTGGAACAGGGTAAGAACAAATGAACCAGTGTAGTTACTAGCTAACTTAGCTAACCCAAGAGGGTAAGAAGGGCTCCGGGTATTGGGGTATCCCACCCGCACGGCCGACTGGCTCCCGTGCAAGGCTGTAGTCATGCTGGTCGTCTGTGGAGATCTAATATGGAGTGGGACTGTTACAAGCAGAGCCTCAGACTGCTGGTCCACTGTGGTCAAGGTTCACGGGTCCGCCGTAGTCGATGGTCCGGCTCTGTGTCGGCATGGAGCCAGGAGCCAAATGACCAAGCGGTGCTTTGGAAAATGCATGGAATTTTTCCCATTCAACAAGCAATCTAATGCCAGGTTCACATCAGCTGCGGCTTGCTCACAAGATTTGGGTGCTGCCCACTGCTCCTCTGTTCACATCAGGCAAGAATTTTCGGAGACGCTTCCTTTTACAGTCCTCTAATTACTAAGTACTTACATGGTAATTACATAGTAAGTTAAAGTGTTTTATTGTGTAATAAAGTGTATAATTGTTAAAAAAAAGTGTAATTATTGTGTAAAACAGAATTTACTGAGAATGATAAATAAAAACAAAAACTAGAATTGAACCTCAGTTACATGGTAATGACAGTTTAAAAACTCTAACAATAATACACTTTTACTTACTATGTAATTAACATGTAAGTACTTCGTCATTAGGGGACTGTAAAAGGAAGCGTTACCGAATTTTAAATGAGAGCTTTTACTCATGCCTACTGTTTTCCAAACCCCCTCACCCCACCCCCCGTGCCCTTGCTGTTAGTGTGCTTGGGTAAACAAAATACTAGAAAGAAGCCATGGTTAAAGAGCAAGTCACCCCCAAATCAACTTTTTTTTCTGATAAACTATATAAATGCATGTTTAATCGTGCTGCAGACCCGTGTAGTCAATAGTTTTGCACTTTGGCACATTTTAGTTTAAAATTTTAATTTTCTGCCTAAAACTGTCAGTGTTGTGCCGTTCTCAGAAAAAAACTCTGTGCTGCATTTGGATTTAAATCTGCCATTGCAATTGGCTAAGAGGTACCCTAGGACGTTAGCTGGTACCATATGATGTCACAATGTTGTTGTGAGCCTGTGTGTGTGTGTGTGTGTGTTTGTTAGCGGTGCCGCCCTCTCGGTCTGCTAGGCAACAGCATTTGTTGCCTTTTTCAAACAGGAAGTGGGAGTGGAGTAATACTCTGGTAGGGGGTGACTTGCTCTTTAAACAAGGTTGTAAAACTGTCAAAATTAGATTTTCCAACATTGGATTCTCATTATTTTGTCATTATTTGAAGTTGGAATAATAAACATTTTTAACTCACTCACTGCCAGCTGTTTCCTGATCACTAACGGCCTTTGCTGCCAGCGTTTCTCACCGTTTTTACTGTTTTTTTAAGAGTCACAGAACGTTGCGCGCTAGCATGATGCCGATGCCAAAACAACCAAAACAAAGAGGAGACTCACCTCTTACATCAGGAAGAAGCCGTGTGTTTCATCCGTTATCCGTTCTTTCATAATCTGTTGTTGAATTGTGATCGGCAGACGCTTTTCCGGTTCGCACCTTACTTTTTTTACAGGAACGGCCCAAAACGATCTCCACACACATGGATGTGTTGCTTCCTGATCATGTGATCTGTGACATATGCGGATGAAGATCGGCTTCAGGGCTGAGATGTTTGTTCTCTCAGTGCGGGGGCTCGTTCCGATGCTCAAACAGTAAAAAAAAATGCAAATGACGACTTTAGTCGTCACTGGCAGTGAATGAGTTAACTAAAATGTTGCCAATTCTGGGCTGCACAGTGGACACTCGGGTTCAGATAATGGATGGATGTTGCTAATTTTACCATCACTTATCTGTGGGTTTTATTCAGAGCTCCTAAAGCATAAATAACTGATCTGTTGTCAGAATTGTTTTTATTTCTGTAAATATATGACTACCAGCAGCCCCTTTTACCATGTCAACTTTCATATAAAAGTATTAATGACAAGCGTTCAGTAAATATCATAATACACTTAATATCGGACTAATAAAAACTGCTGGAATTTGGGATAAATGAAGTGAAAATGATTCATTTTAATTTGCTTGTTAAATGTGGAATTTCATGCAGCTGGTTTAGTTTTGCCGTGTTAAACCATCCTTCCTCAAACCCGTGACTTTACATGTCTGCTGTTATCGTCCTCCTTGTGCAGACAAGACATGTCGCAGTGTGTGGAGTCTTAGATCCGCTCTCTATGTACTGAAACCAGTGCTTTGTAACAATGTATTAACTCATTCCACATGTCTGTTCAGAACAGAAGGTAATGCCTTATTTTCTTCTAATTCGAGATAAAAACATGGGCCCCCAGGTCCTGTCAGGCTGAGGAACCACAAGAATACCAAGTCTGTGGCTATGAGAGGACATGGTGCTGTTCGATAGCAGCGGGGGTGCTTTGGTACACATCTGTCCACAAGCAGCCTGTGAACTAAAAGTGAAGCATTTAGATAAAGGAGTTGCAATCTCCTCCCAAAGATCTTCAACTTCAGCTTCAGGAAAATCCTTCAGCACCGTCTCAACGACAGCACCGTTTTCAGAGTTTGACAGCGTGCAGGTTGAATAGACCACAACACCCCCTCGACGCACTGCAGATAGCGCGGACCTATAGGGAGCAGGCAAACACTGCACTTTATGAAAAGAGTCTTCAAAATGACACTAAATTGATCCAACAAATGATACCGTTCAACTCTTTATTTTAGCTGTTGTGAAGCAGTTAAAGATATAAAATGATGATGAAATCCATCAAACCAAATCTAATCTCATCATTACACACAGAATGTATTTACACGTGTGACATTTAATCTCTGAAACACAAAGGAACATTTAAATGTCCTTAAACTGAGCTGAAATAATGTTTTATTTACTGATTGACTGAAACATACAGAAGATGTATAGTAACGGGCTTACCTGAGGAGCTGAGCCTGCAGCTCAGGCAGCCCGGCTCTGTCCTTCAGCCTCTGTTCCCCCCGCTGTTCGCTGCTAGAGTACAGCCAACTCCTGTCGTTAGAGCAAGGGGCATCAACTAAAACCTGCAGCATAGACCAAACAAAATGTCAGCAGCTTAGAGTGATTCAGAGAGCTACAGCCTGTAAAAGTCAGCATGGAGAGTAACGAGAAACTTCATGTTTAAATGGATCATTTTGGAACAGCAGATTAAAGCATGAGGGCTAAATATCACATGATGATCTGGAACTTCCACAGTAAATTAGGTTTACCTCAGTAATCTTTTTTACAGAGTAGAAAACAAAGTTATGAAAATTGAATTTAAACATGAAGCAATCTGGCTTTTTAGATCGTTTAAAATAAGCAGCATCAAAGATTGAAAATATTAACTTACAAACTTACAGGATAAATCACACATACTCACGCACAAACACACACGCGCGCGTGTGTGTTTTAATAAACACCCATCTATTTCCTAAAGTAGTTAAGAGATTTAGCAATAGTTAAATTTTGAATGATCATTTGCTGTTTTTTTCAGCTATTTTAATACGATTTGTAACAAGTTGCATCGGAACCCTAAAAAATGACAAATATTAATGTTTTTTTCATTTGAGAAACAAAAATTACAAATTTTCGCTTGGCTCCTTTTTACCTTCCATGCAAACCTAAACCGTACCTACATAAATACAATTCCTGTAACTTCTCTAGATTTAACCAGAGTTCCAAATACAGGGGAGCTAAGGGGAGCCCGGCTCCCCTGAAAGAGTGACAGGCTCCCCTAGAAACCCTCAACATACACACCCAAGGGGAGCCCAGAAAAATGTCATGTTCCTACCTATATTACATTATTTATATGGACTGTCAGCACATTATTTTGAGTGGAGAAGACCGGGAGCACTGATAATTGATGCACTCCAGGCAGCTGCGTCCTGCACATAGCCACAGCAACATTCTCAAATATATTTAATTAACACTAGAGCTGGACAACAATTCAATAACGATATATATCGATCAATAGACATGTGGTTCAATAGGAAAAAAAGTACCAATAAAAACTTCAATAAAAGTTTCCTTTTTCCATAGTAGCCTAAGCCTATTGGGTAGCTTCATACTAGAGTCATTACCTACACCCAACCAATCAAAAACACAGACCCAAGCCCACTATGTCACCAAGCCCTCCCCTCTCAGACCTAAACAAACAGCAATGTGACTTAAACAAGATGTTGCAGCAATGAGAGGTGGAAGAAACTGTCCCGAAAAAAGTTTACAGTACTTGACCAGTGGGGCTATTTTTTCATTCTTACAAGTCTGACAAAAAAACAAACAACGGTGGTTTGCAACAGAGAATCAATAAAAACCAAGTCTGGCAAATCAACCAACTTGTTTTATCATAAAGTAATGGCCTAAGATGGCCAGGGCTGCACAAAATATATTTTAGACATTTGTCATATGGTTTTCTAGCCTAGTGAACTAGACCAAATTCTTGCTTTGCAAAGTTTGGTCTAGGCATGCTCTATTGGAACCTCCACAGCTCCTACCAGGACTCTGGCTAGCCTATCACAGCTCTCTAGAGGGGTTTCAAACGCATAAAGAGCTGTGATTGGTCCATAATGGTGGGCCAATCATAGTGCTCTATCTGCTTAGTGAACAAATCACAGAGCTTTATCCGCTTTGTGGGCCAATCAGGGCACTCTATATGCCTGGTGGGTGGGATGATGCAACAGAGTGAAACAAGAGTAAGTCACATTCATTGTCCAGTGGAATGCGGAGATCATTTGAAAGACAACGGTAGAACCCGCCCCACAACCGAGAGCCATCAATGGAGCATGGCCAGACTAAATAATACACATTGCCTTGCCAGGCTAATGGTTTTCAATAGTTACTGAAATCGATCAATGATTTTTTTTTTCAGTCGATAAGCTTTTTTTCTGTATCGTCCAGCCATAACGAACACACGATCGTCCATGTCATTTTCTTTGGTCCTTTCTGTCATTTTTTTGTTCCCGACGCGCTCCGCTACAGCGCCAAAACCCATGCTCCGGTGATGTCACCTCACTGACGTGGCTGCAGAGCGCACACCCCGCCACTTTAGTGGTCGGTAGATCCTTTTGATGTTATTTAGTTCAAAATTCAAACATGAGGTGAAAAAAGTAGGAAGCCAGGCAGCAGTTTTTCTGGAGGACTAAGAGGAGATGCAGGAGGATCAGAGGTCAGACAGGACAGGAAAATTGTCTAATAAAAAACAAGACAAAATTAAGTGCTTGAAAAGAACAATATAGGCAAGTTTATCCCACTACTTTTTTACATTTATAAGCACTTAATCTTTATATAATTCAAATCACCTGTGTAATTACACTCCGTGTAATCCGTACCCTGGACGTAACAAAATTTTCATCTAATTATTCACAATTCATTGCTGCACCTCTTGACCCACTTTAACCTTGTTGTTTTATATTGAGCTTTTTAATAAATAAATCCAGTTTACTTCAGCCACTCTCTCAAAGCTCAGTCCAAAAATCAGCTCCTGGCTCTGCCCTTTTGTTTGTAGATCATTTATTTTTGTCGTGCATCACCACTTTCCTGCCCCAACTCTCTGTTGAGTTTATCTGCAGGTGTTTCCCTCATACAACCTTTCCATTTTACTTGTACTTTCTCCAAAATGTAGGTGCAGCTGGCGTGTAGAGTAAACAACCTCGGTTGACTTTGTATTAGAAGACTCTCTGAAGGAGCTTTAGAATCTTTTTCATGGCCTCAACTGGCAGCGAGTGTGTTTCCTTGACGAGCAGCAGTAGGATCAAAGTGTTCACATGCTCAGGTACATTTTTGGTCACATCTACAATTTATTTTTCAACAACATAAATTGAGGTTATATTTTTGGCCAGGATAATTCCACAAATATATCCTTTAAAATATGCATCAGTGACCAAATACAGCTTTTGTACAATCTTTCTGGCCAACTGTCATTTATAACATTCACAAAAGACACCCATTTAAACTGAAAATTTTCTATTTTCCAACATAACGTTTGATTACGAGCCAGTCTTCTTCTCTACAGGATTTATTAGTCTCTGCTAAGGCTTTCTGTTCTTGTTCATTTCCCTCAACAGACTCAGAAAATAAGTGGATGACCCTTAATTTGTAGGATATTGAAGGGAAATTCAATTAAATGTTGCCATAAACACGACAGGTGTTCTTTACCTACCTTGTCATAAAAGCCAGTCTCACTGTCCCCAAAAGACCGTCCATCCTGTGCGGACACAATCACTCTATTGTTTAGTGAGCGAGGCAGAAAGGACTCCAGGGTTTTGGACAGCCAGTCTCGTCTGTGAGGGTCCGGTTCATTACAGCAAAGGAGTGCTGTGGTGCACAGGTAGCATCACTGATTAATATTAATAAATAAAGCAGCAAATAGATAATTCATTAAGAACGAACATTTTCTTTATATGCAAGGATTTTATGTAAAAACAAAAACCCTAATCCCATGCACCACCTTATATCTTTCTGTATTATAAGTAAGGGTGGGACTCGATAAAAAAAACAGTCTAATTAATTAGATGCTTTGGGAAAGTTTCCTTTTACAGTCCCCTAATTACTAAGTACTTACATGGTAATTACATAGAAAGTTAAGAGTGTAATACTGTTTCTGAGTTCTCCAACAGTTATTATCATGTAACACGAGTTCTATTCTAGTTTTGATTCTTTAATCATTCCCAGTATATACTACATTACACTATAATTACACAATTATACACTTCAATTACACAATAATATACTTTAACTTACTATATAATTACTATGTAAGTACTTAGTAATTAGGGGACTGTAAAAGGAAGTGTTAACAAGCTTTGTAATTAATTACTCTTGATTAACCTTTTTTAATCGTTCTAGACAATTTGTGACCAAGCTATCTATTTTCATTTAAAAATAATGTTAGTGAGGCACAAATGACACACTCACACGTTAATGAATATATTTCTGTAACCATAAAGTCTATTTGATTACTTATTATAAAGTTAACCATTGTGGGATTTGTTCGGATGTGTAAATATTAGTATAAGTGTTATTGATAAAGTGTAAATAAACATGGTACATTGTAAAAGTTGTGTTCTAGCCTGAACACTAGGTGGCAGCAGAGCACTGCTAAGGATAGATAGATAGATAGATAGATAGATAGATAGATAGATAGATAGATAGATAGATAGATAGATAGATAGATAGATAGATAGATAGATAGATAGATAGATAGATAGATAGATAGATAGATAGATAGATAGATAGATAGATAGAGGTGTAGTGCAGAGTTCAGGGGAAGTTCTGCTGAGTCACAAGATGAAATCTTGCCCCTCCTGTTGTAATAAAGTTCAAGTGGATAACGCTGCTGCCCGTCTGCTCTCTACCAATTACAAAACACAATGATAAAAATGTTTTTTTCTTTCTTTTCTTCATCAAATTTGATTTGTCATAATTCATTTATTGTAGTTTTATCTTGTGTTTGAAGTACGTACAAAAAGGGTTTATATGGTCTTGTAGCCCAGGCCCTGCACTTTTGTTAGAGGTGCAGCTTTATGATATTTATTTATATATGGGGCATAAATTATAATGCTAGACTTTTGGGGGGCACTCGAGCTTAAGCGGTAATTTTAAACTCGTTATTTTTTTCTAAATAATTAATCGTAGTTAACGTGTTAAATTCACACCCCTAATTATAATATTTATTGACGTAAATTGAACAAAGTCATCCTAAAATCATCTTCGTTTTACCTGGAGTTGCACTCTGCATTATAGCTACAGCTTTGCCTCCAGGGGCAGAACAAAGATCCAAAACCCTTTCCTCATCTCTGACTTGCAAAGCCAGAACTGGAAGCAGAGAAGCAGCGTTCAGGAGGTAATACTGCTTCAGAAGGCCATCCCGGTGAGCCTGAGAGGGAAATCTCAGTTGGCGTGGGTGGACGTAACACTGTAATGAAGAATGGTGCAAACTGAGATCAGGCTCTGACCGAGGGTCCTGATTGAGTGCATGAAAGGGGACTTCAGGCTGGAGATTGAAGTCCTCAGGAGAGCACTCTGAGATGTGGTGAGGTGAGAAAGTGTCTTGTCCTTCTGGATATTTAGAATTAGACACAGTGGAGGCACCATTATGAGGAAGGGAAGAGACTGTTGTTTGTGGCAGCAATGATGAAAAGCCCAAAGAGAGAAGACTGTCTGTGATATCCGTCACTGTGCTGAAGCGGTTTAGCATGACCCCATATTGCCAGGACTGTGGGTTGAGGAGCACTGCTCTGCAGGACAGAAAGCATTCTCAATGAGAAAAATCCTGAACCTCATGGACTTGTTAAGCTGCAATCGTTTTCGAATCTAAATAATAAATCACCTTGCAGATGGCCACAAGTCTCCAAGTTCCTCACTGTACTGTTGGTCAAAGTGATGGAGAACAACTGAGCAAGCAGGTCTTTTCTTCTGGATCGTTTTCCTCACCTAATTTCAACACAATTCATTTAGATGTGATTCTGATCTTTCAGATTTGTGATTGTTTTGTATCTTGACAGCGTATTAAACCTAAGATTTACAGTTTGGGGTCAAATCCGCTAAAATCTTATCCACCAGCTACCCCTGGTGGTTAAAGAAGTAAAATAGGCTGCTTCTGTAAAAAGAATAAAAACTGAAATGGTTGGAAATAGTCAGTCCACTCTGAGAGAAACAGACTAAATGACCATTATCCCATCATAATTAGAAAAATGTTTATCTTTATACAAATACTTAATTACCCCATATGGAGTTTTGGTCGAATTCCAATGAGTATTATGGCTTTTCCCCAAAACTTTTAAAAAGAAAAGGATTCAAAATCGAAAACGTGTATTTTCAATCTTCATGATTGTTAAGGAATAAAACTGATGTTACATGTGCTGAGCCAAAAGTGGGGATAAGCACGGAAATCCTTCATTTGAAGAAACCAGAATAAGTTTACACAACAAGCAAATGACTAATTAAATACTATTACATAAAAACAACCAGTTACCTTGTTATTTGGAGACTCGTTTTGTTGAATCTGCAGTAAAACTCCATCTGTAGCATTGTGGCGGTTAAACAACAGACACCAAAAGCATTTCAGGTTTATCCTTTTAGATAAACCCCGAAAAGCCCTCATCACACCTTAAAGTATCTGTGTTGAGATGTCGCTGCATAAGTAAAACGCCTACATGTATTTATTCAGTATAAACAGCGCGTATTTGACATTGACGGGTACGTTTTAGAAATTCGTCCCACTTGAAACACGAATATTATTTTATAGTTCCGCCTAAGATGAACACGTGAACACCAACCAGAGCAGGTTAAAGGCGCTGGATAAAATTACAAATGACAGTAAATAATCTATTATTAGATAATATTAGTTTGTCTTTGGATACAAATTAACCACTTAACGTTAGAGCAAAAAGTGCAACTATAGGCAACTGCAATTTTTTTTGGTTCATTTTAGCCCTGTTTGAGTGCAAAACGCTGTGCCCCACCAACAGCACCGTCTGTGTTTAGTTGACAATAAAATTTCCCTACCGTGTTATTTAAACTATAGACATGAATACATAGACGGTCTGTTGGGGGCTAGAGAGCGTAACAGCATTACCGCCATACCGGATGGGTCTTCTGACTCTCCAAATAATACAGAGTGAGCAACTGAACTTTGCCTGTTTCTGTACAGCCTGCGGTTACAACCGTCGCTGGTTGATTTTATATTAAAATAAAATTGATTAATTTTAATTATATTTAATATCAATTATATTACATAAATATATAAATAAATATATATATATTTGTACATTATTTTTATTATTTTATTTTATAAATGTATTATTTAAATGATTTCAATATTAATGAATATTAAATAATATTAATATAATCATGTGTGTGTCTGATTTTGTGAAAAGGCTTGATAAAATGTTTTTTTTTTTTTGTTGGGTAAGGACGGTAGGACCTTCTTCAGTAGAAATTGATGCACTGGGGGAGAATGGAGACCTATCTAAGATGGCGGCCGGCCACTGTGGCAGCTCCAATACCTGTCCACGTGGTGTCTATGTATATGTCTGTAATTTAAACAGCATTTTAAATAAAATATTTACTGGGCTCCAGATTAGTTTGCAGTGATGAGCCAACACGAAAATCTTGTGAGAGTCTGACTTAACGGAGATCTTAGGACAAGAGAAAAGTGAAGATCACCGACGTCTATGGGTTATTAGAAGTTATTTTGATACTGTGAACCACAACATCCTTTTTGATAGAATAATGAACTGGGTGGGACTTTCAGGCACAGTCCATTGTTGGTTCCAATCATACCTCACAGACAGCATATATGTTGTTTCTATTGGTGAACACAAATCAAAGCAAATCGCCCTGACATTCAGTGTCCCCCAAGGCTTGATATTTGTACCTCTGCTTTTCAATCTCTACATGCTTCCACTGGGCCAGGTCCTAAACATCGCCTACCACAGTTATGCAGATGACACCCAGATCTACCCACCTCTATCATCTAATGATTCTAGTCCCCTAGACTCACTCTCTCAGTGCCAAGAGCTATTTGACTGGATGCAACCAGGTTTCCTTACGTTAAACAAAGACAAGACTAACACTATTGTCTGTGGAAATAAGGATTGGACGGAAGCCATTTCTCAACTTAGCTCCAAAGGAATGAAGACAAAGACTCAGGTTAGAAATCTTGTTACCACTGATTCAGACTTGAGCTTCACTGGTCACATTAAAGCAGGGGTGGGGAACACTGGTCCATCGAGGGCCGCTATCCAGCATATTTTAGTTGTAACCCTGCTTCAACACACCTGATTTCAATCAACAGGTGATTATCAGGCTTCTGCAGAGCCTGATGAGCTGCTGAATAAAAAGTAAAGACATGCAAGATACTGGGCAAAGAGGACCAGGGTTCCCCACGCCTGCATTAAAGCTGTAATTAGATCAGCGTTTTATCATTTCCATCAATTAGCAAGACTCAGAGGTCTCATGTCAAAACAAAGCCTAGAGAAATGAATTCATGCGTTCATCTCCAGCAAGCTGGACTATTGCAATGGTCTTCAAACTGGTCTCCCCAAAACAGCTGTAAAACAACTGCAGCTTATTCAGAATGCTGCTGCTAGTCTTAAGAACTGAGCACATCCCCGTTCTTAAATCCGTACACTGGTTACCAGTAAACTAAAGTATAAGCTTCAAAATGCTTTTACTAGACTATAAATCCCTCGATGTTATGGGCCCAAATTACATGTCGGATCTCCTTCCTGTATATATACACCCAGCAGGGGGTCTCAGATCCTTGGGAAACAGTCAACTGGTAGAACCTCGGGTCAGAACCAACAAGGTCAAGCTGCTTTCAGCTACTTCAGCATCCTCATGACCTCAAATGTGCCCCAACTCTATAGAAACTTTTATATCAAAAATAACTTTCATGTATTCATCATTCTTTAAATATATGTTATGCTGCACTTTGTGCACTGTAACTGCTAACCTTTTGACTGTGCCTTTTATCCATTTTTTAAATCTGAAATTAGTATCTACATTTCTTTGATTTACTGTGTTTGCTTCTGTAGAGCACTTTGAATTGTCTATTTGAAATGTGCTACACAAATACTACTGCCTGGCCTCATGTGGTCATTAAAAATGAACTTCTACTTTATGTTTAGTAGTCGAATGTTAAAAGTTCAAACTAAAATGTATTCTACCAGTGTCAAATTGTCATGAGCTCTCCCAAATACAGAAATATTGAACCATTAAATTCCCAACACAAATGCACCTTAGTGTCCATTATTTCAAAATGTCAATATGGTCATTTTGAGGTTTTCTTTAAGACAAATAAAAAAAGACACATAACGAGTTAAATGTTTTAATGATGTCACTGACTGCATTTCGCTAACAAAAACCTTCAATTAAATACAGTGTTTCAGATCTTTCATCAAAACGATTGGAGCCGAGGTTCTTACATCACCAGATTTGCAGCCCTTCTATAAACACTGAAACGATTAGCCAACACATGATCTGACATTTGATGTTTTCAACAGCTATCCTTGTTACCATTGTAATGTGTTCTTGAACAGCTAATGCCGAACCGATTTACATGGCGAAAAGAATGAGGAATGCAACCATCAGACAGAAGAGACCCATAGCTTCAGACAGAGCGAAGCCCAGGATGGCATAAGAGAAAAGCTGCTGCTTCAGAGAAGGGTTCCTGTTGAGAAAGGACAGATGGGATAAAGCTAAGTAATGCTAGTTTTAACATCTATTAAACACCGATTCTGTAAAGAACCATGATAATCACCATCAAATGGTTAGGGAAGTACAATGTGATGCAGCCAACGGAAAATGTGTGTGTGTGTGTGTGGGTGTGGGGGGGGGGGGGGGGAATCCATCTTAATAAAGAAAGCATTGCAGCTGTAGCTATGAGTTTGGTGTCTAAATTGACAGACATTTGTATTAATGCCTCCTACTCTCAATTTTGTGTTCAAAATTCATCCTATACAGAGTAAATCAACCTAAGACCAAATGTTCATTAGTTACTTTGTGGCCAAAGCAAAACCCAACAATTAAAAGCACCAAAAATTGCAATATTTGATCTTTGTAAATCCTAAGGGAAAAACAACCTTCCATAGTGGGAATACACGAAACTTCTTACCTGGCATATCCGATAATAAGGCTGCCGAACACAGTTCCAATACCAGCTCCAGACCCGGCCACTCCCACAGTAGCAGCTCCTGCTCCAATAAACTTTGCAGCTGTATCAATATCACGGCTTACAGCACTGGTCTGGAACCCTCGCACTGCCACCTGCTGCTGGGAGGCTGCAAGGCTCAGAGGTGCCAGGAGTGAAGCAGTCTGAAATGAGTTCAAATGGTTACAGAAGGATCAGTGGGTTTATTAAATAAATCAAGTGTGTATAATGATTGTTGAGTGATGTGAAATTAAATAGCCTGTCCTATTGTGCCTCTACCACAGCGTTGCACTTCAATTATTTAGATAGCAAACTGGAAAAATGGCAACATGTTCATAAAAAAATAAATAAACCCTGAAATACTCAACCAACACCTAAAATTTGTTGGCATTTTACTGAAGTTTTACATGACTAGAAAAACATATGCACGTGGTTGATCCTTGTTAACGGAGTGCAAATTTGTCTTGCATGTAGATTTACATATTTGACCAAATGTAGACAAAACCACAAAGGGATGCCACAGAAACAAAGCTTTCAGAGTCCATCTGACATGTTTCAGTTAGTCTGATTGGTCGTATTGCTTGTTCTGATGCAAATAGTAGTGCTTAGTCAGCTACTGCCATTACTATTCCTCAGAAACTACACAGAGTTTAAAAATTCTGCCTCATTTGTGCTGTTTTTGGTGATGCCAAACAACTGAACAATAGTGCATCTATTGAAAATATACAGTAACCTCAGATTTTGATCAGGAGGTGGATTGTGTTTCAAAAGCAGCATGCATCTAATACAAAAAACAAATCAAAATAAATAATGAAAATCCAGTTTCTACTCCTACCACTTCATGGTCTTTCTTGCAGTGAAAAACATGCTATTTTTAAGCAACGTCTTATATGCAACCATAGATATCATACTCAATTCACTCTTGCCTGTGAAGTTATATGTAACAGATGTAGCAGGTAATTTTCTGTGTAAGAGGCTCACCTCTGCTTTCCTGCTGTCTGACACTACTGCTGCTGAAAGTGGTCTGCACAGAGCCCGGGATCCAGCACGGACCTGTGTTAAAGAGAGAAAGCACAAACACACCAAGTAAATGCAAAATGTTAGTCTGGCCAGAATCCATGCATCCTACTAATAAGCTTTAAAAATATGGCCACACCCAAAATAAGTTTACACGGATGGTTGAACGAATCCAGCTGTCACTTTGAATTAGTTTTAGACTGAATTGGACATTTGAATTGGGCCTCTGTTTAATTAACAATTATAAATGCCTAAAATTTAGATTATCTTGATTTATGTCGTTTTAAAATCACGTGATCTCTTTCTCCACAGTGCTACAGGAGACTGTTTGAGGTTTGACCTGTGAAACTTTGACGTCCTTGCAGGTGGGAGCACCAGCTGACTTTAGCAAGGGGTCAAAGACTTCTACAAGGCTCGGCTAGCTCAGTTAGCACGCTATGTTGTTAGCCTCCGACAGTTTGTCCTTAAACCACACTGGTGGGAAATAGCATCCCTGCTTTTTAAAAGTATGCAGCAAACAATGGCACGGCTAAGTGCTTGCAATAGTGATCAGTGCCCATTCATTCACTTAAACTCACCAGAGAGGGCGTGGAGACGAACTTAGCACAGGCATACATCACGACGAGACGTCTGGGTCAGGTCAAACAGTGCAGCAGGCGTTTATTTAAGTCTGAAAAAATATAAGAAACAAAACAACGCTTAATGGAAACCTATTAATTATCGGAAATGCATAGTTAGCCGGATAATCAGATCGTAATCATTTACAAAACCCGCACAAAGTCGTAGGGTTAAGTTAGCAGTAAATAGGAAGGAAGAGGTAGCGTTTTAGTGGATTAAACAAAAAAAATACCGTGTGAGAGAGCAAACAGCTCACCAAACGATGTCCCTGATAAAGACGGTTAGCTCTTACCGGTCTAATGTAGAGGTCGAACTGCTCGGGACAAATGCGCATGCGTATTGGTATGTCCGGTGTCTTATGCAGCAGATGAAGAGCAGAGAGAATTTATTACTGCCCCTATGTGTCCATTTGTGGAATTGCACTAGGAATGTATTGTATGGAAGCCCATTCCCGCCACTCAGATCAAAAATAATAATAATTATCTGATAATTATGACTTAGCTATCTCATAATTATGAGATACCATCTCATTATTATGACTTAGTATCTTATTATTATGACTTAGTTATCTCATAATTATGAAATAATATCTCATTATTATGACCTAGTCTATCATAATAATGGGATACTATCTCATAATTATGACTTAGCTAAATCATAATTATGAGATAGCAATCTCATAATTATGAGATAGCACCTCATTATTATGAGGTAGCTAAGTCATGATTATGAGATAATTATTATTTTATTTTATATGAGTGGCAGGAATGGGCTTCCACAGTATGGGGCCTCAAGATTGATGCAAATAAATAAATCATGTATACCATAAACCAGTATTTTTATAAAGCACTGTTTAAAAACAGCATGGCAGCTAACCAAAGTGCTATACATAAAGAGCCAAATGCTCAGGCACAACAACAGACACATTGCATAAAATGAAGGAGTTAGCTAAAACACATTAAAAGGCAAAGCATAAAAATGCATGTTAAAGATAGCAGTCGAAGAGAACAATTAAAATCACTATGCCAGAAATTAAAGAGAGAAAAAAAACTATTAAAGCCAGCTAAAACAATACTAATAAAAAACAAAAGTGCTGAGAAATATTGCATGGTGCAATTAATAGAGCAACTAATCGAGAAAAGGCAAACAGCACTAAAGGATAGGAGGGATATTCATATTTTACAGATGTTTAGTGTCTATAAACTGTCAAGCAATTTCAAATGTCATATTTTTCAAGTGAGGTTCTGTAGTTTATGCTTTTTAATTATTTATTGCATTTTGCCTGCTTCTTTTTTATCTAACCTATTTATACTAATTAGTCTTTGGCATCCATTGTGGTCAGCAAAGTCAGAAATTCACAGTGCGGAGAAATGTGTTTCCTTCAGGTATGTGACAACTGGTCTTTTAATCTTGAATGAAGAAGTACAGCTTACTTGTGACTTTTGAAATAAGGCTTGGTTTTTCTATAATACAAATAGTTAATTATATATATATATATATATATATATATATATATATATATATATATATATATATATATATATATATATATATATATATGCTCTAATGGTTAATAAGTTAATAAATAGTTAAATTGCAGAGTTTGTTTTTGTTGTTTAAAATGTGTTTTTGTAGCACTCTGCTTCATGTTGTATAAATTAAGTTATTTAAGTAATAAACAGCTGATATAATACAGCCAATATTGTAGATTAGTAATTCAGTTTATGCACAATTTGTATAATGTCTGGGGATAAAATCATTTAAGAAACTTAAACTGTAAGGAGCCGTTTGAGAGTCGAAAGAGTCGGTTCATTTTAGTGAGCCGAGCTGTAAGAATCGGTTCTCTTAAAAGAACCGGAGATCCCATCACCAACTGCTGCTGGAGGTACGCAGCAGCTCCCCTGCAACCATGCATGGACAAGTGGGTACAGACAGTAGATGGATGGAATTAATATAGTCACTAAGATCAATTTAAAATCACCATGAAGCATATTTTAAATTTAGGAGGCCAAACTCTCACCTGGAGACATAAGACCCTCAAGACCTAGGTTCAAACACACTCTGCCTTAATTTGTTGGCAGTAACCACTACTGAATAAAGCAAATGTGGCTCAATTTTGCAGCACAACTGCAACAGTTCAATAAATAAAGAATAATGTCGACCAACATACTTCAACTGGGTGCAAAACTCTGAAGTGTGTCGCAAAGAATGACCACAAGGTGGCAGTAACACACTTGTCCATGTCCCAGAAATGAATTCACAAACGTTAGTATTCTGCAGCTGGAAGCTAAATTAATTTGCATGAAATATGTGTCAGACTACAGACCAGATCACGAATAACTACAACGCAGGGTGCGGGGAAACAGAAAATAGGCTCATCTTTATTTTTGTTAATTGATGCAAAACTAATTTTAGGATTTAAAATGTTACTATAATCTATCTTAATCCAGGTTTAATCAGTCAAATCTGCTCATATTTAACTATAGGCTAAATATAAGGCTGAGTGAGTTGAACGCATTTAAATGCAAGCTTGATTATGTGGCGGTTTCCTTCATTTTTGAAGCTGGAGGTGCATGGGCATGAATAGTAATCGGATGCTGCGTGTGTAGAATGTGTATGTGGTTACAGTGCGTTGCGGTAAATGACAGGTGCAAAGATCTGCCATTTAGATATAGAGAATATGTGGTGAAAATAAGCTGCAGACGTTTTAATGACCGTTTGTATTCATTTACCCAAATTCACTTGTTTACTATTGAGCAATGCATCCAGTTTAAACAACAATGAATAAGTGAACACTGATTTGTTTGTGCAAATGAAAATAGGTGATTGCAGTCCAGGGTGGACCCCGCCTGATTGCCCGTTGACCGCTGGAGATAGCCCCCCACCCCCCACCCACCCACACACACCCCACATTCACACACACACACACACACACACACACACACACACACACACACACACACACACACACACACACACACACAACCTCCCAACCTCCCACCACCCCCCCGCGACCCTGCTTGGACAAGCGGGTTCAGGAAATGGGTGGATGGCATTCAAGCATGCAGCTCTCGTTTCCACTTGCACCTGCAGATGTCTCTGGGATTTCCACACAATTCTAAAAATAGCTCCGTGTTTGAATAAAATATTCGTGCTCCAGCGTTGAGTGGGCTTTCCCTGTTCAAAAATTCATCACTGGCCGCCCCCGCAAAAGTAAGCTCCATTTGGAGATGCGGAAGGGAGATTCCTCTCGGCTCTGCACCCCCTCCTCCGCTGATGTGACCGTTACGCACCACCACAATAAATGGAGACGTGACTCTTCTGGGCGAATCCCTGCCGACGTCACTCATTCCTATATAAACAGGCTGATGAGCGACTCTGAGCAGACTCAAGCAAAACCGTCTTTTTGACTTTTTCTAAGGAGGGATTATTGGATACGCTTCGTTGGATTTTGTTACCGGCTCAGAGTAAGTCTTCACATTTTAAAACGGGACATTTGGGATCAGGTCGAGGGTTTTACGCATTATTAAATTACTTGTAATGAGAAAAATGTAAAGTGATATTATGTTCCACTGTAAATCTAGTGGCGCGTGTCCTTTCTGTAAACTGGATTTTGGCACAAGGACCGCATATTTACGCATGGCACATCTGTCCACAGATCGTTTATATCACCACGATGACTTTGAACAAGGGGGACAAATTGCGAAATATGGACAAGAGAAGAGGGAGCGTGCCCTTCCCAATGAATCTCCCCAACCTCCACAGGAGAAGCATGCCCGTGGACGACCGGGACCTGCGCGCCACGATGCCACAGACCGGACAGACGGACGAGCTGTCCAACCTTCTGCGCTGCACGTCCTACTCCCCGAACGAGCAGCACCGGGGCAGCTGTGCTTCGGACTCCTCAGACTCGGTGATCTCCACCGGAAGCGAGACGGACTCTCAGGTGTACAAGGTGGTTCTGCTCGGGGAGCACGGGGTCGGCAAGTCCAGCCTGGCGCGCGTCTTTGGAGGCGTTGAGGACGCCGGTCACGACTGGGATGAAGCAGGTAAATGGTGCCATGGATGAGTCATCAACGCACACTCACATGGTACCGATTTTATTCGGTCAGATTGGGAGATATTTATGCTTTTTCTGATAAAATTAGAAGAAAAAATATATATATATAATTTTTATTTTTTATTGTACTATTTTTTTGTATTTTACTCTTATTATTTCTGGGAATAAATTGTTAAAAATAACTACATAAATGTACAGCATTGAGGTTAATTTTATCCCAGTTAACACAAAAATCCTTCACACAAATGCCAAATTAAACCTTTTTATTTGCATATTTCCACGTCAGCTTGACGATAATGGGAAAAACAGCACGTTCATTACTTTTGCAAGAAAAGCTTTAGATGCATTGATTATTTCTACTCTATGGCACCAGCCTTGCTCTTATAGTAATGCAGCATTGAAAAACACACAGAGGCACCATAAAGGGATGGGATGATTGCAGATTTAATGTGAAACAGTCTGAGAGAGAAATGCAGCAACACACACTGACAGAAAACATGAACGTTCATAAAGGAGATGCCTTCTGCAAGGATGTAACATTATATGTATTCTTCCATCTCCAGGAAACACTTATGACAGATCTATTGTAGTGGATGAGGAAGATGCTTCCATCATGCTATATGACATCTGGGAACAGGTGAGATGAATGCACATCATTTATGCAGTGTTTTCCCACTAGAGGCTGTTTGTAGAATATGGGATTCATGCTGGATTTGTCTCGTTCTCAAAGGATAACAGCCAGTGGCTGAAGGAGCAGTGCATGAGGATGGGAGATGCTTACATCATTGTGTATTCTGTGACTGACAAGTCAAGCTTCGAGAAGGCGTCTGAGCTCCGCATTCAGCTGCGTCGAGCTAGGCAGTCTGAGAACATTCCCATAATCCTCGTGGGCAACAAAAGCGACCTGGTGCGGTCCAGAGAGGTTTCTGTAGACGGTGAGTGAGAACAAACCAAACATCACCACAGCTTTAGTGTTTTCTCCAATGGACACCTCTTCTGATCGTGTTTTGCTGATTTTTCTTTTTCTTTTTTTGCAGAGGGTAGTGCGTGTGCCGTGGTATTTGACTGCAAGTTCATCGAGACGTCTGCATCCCTTCACCACAACGTGCAGGATCTATTTGAGGGCATCGTCAGACAGATCCGCCTAAGGAAAGACAGCAAGGAGGAGAATGCGCGGCGCATGGCCAACTGCAGGCGTAGAGAGAGCATCAGCAAGAAGGCAAAACGCTTCCTGGGCCGCATGGTTGCACGCAAAAACAAGAAGATGGCTTTCAGGCAGAAGTCAAAGTCCTGCCATGACCTAACTGTCCTCTGAGGAACACACACGACAAACAGACTGCAGTTTTTGCTTTCCCTTTGGCCTCTGAAGACCAGATCCTGTGTGTTTTTACACTAATCCTAAAGGACTAATACAGCTGTACAGAATATAACTTTTTTTTAGGCACAAACCAAAAGCCAGGACAAGATATAATCAAGGTCCTATCATGATGATGGTGAGAACCTTCATGAAGCTTTGCAAACATTTGATTTTATAGTCTACCTTAAACATTTTGTCATCAGAGAATGATCCTTCTATGTAAAATATCTGATATGATATTTCTAACGAGCTGCAGAGATCGCCGTGCTGTCGTGTTGTTGTGCTCCTTCGGTCGAGGGGATTGATGTTTTTACTACACATGTGAATTATGTTGAATGCAGCGTACATCTCATTCTTCTACCAGATCACATGAATAGGTCATCTGGGGTCAGATTTACTTGAAAAGTGGTGCGCGGGTTCGTGCCTTGGCCAAGTTGTAGAAGACGACTCAAACCTTGGGACAAAATTCTGTTTTTCTCTGTTTTTTCATAACACTGAATTCAGGTGGTGAATGTATGAGTAAAGCAATACGTTATACTAGTCTCGTGAACTTTGGCATTATTTAACTATTCTTTGTTTACATTGATTTTCTTTTTCAATAAAATTTGAAATAAAAGTGTGATTCTCTCTGTCATCACTCCCACCAAACATAATCAGCACGAGTCTGGGAAAATGGAGTGATGGATTGCATCCTCATGAATATTTATTTGATTCTGTCAGCGGAATGGAACCATGCTGACCACAGGTTTGAAAAAGGAAGGAAACTAGGTTGTTTAGCATGTTTCGTCTCAAAGTGTTAACCATTAATCCACCAAACGAACGCAAAAGAACACTATTTTCCACCCGATTCAAACCTCTCTCACAGCTCTCAGAAGCAACACACACATCTTCTGCAGGAGGTAAGATGAACGTTTGTAGTACAGAATTATTTGTTTTGTCTGCCACAGTCTAATTTTGTTAAGCTACAAAAAAATCTATGCTTGAGTCTTTAAGTGAACTTCATGAGACAAAAGTGCAACTTTAATCCTGCAGAAGTCCTTTATTTTGAAAGGGTTCGTTAGCCGTTGTCTGTTGGTCATCTGCCGGCATTTTTCAGTCAATCAAGTGTTGCTTTAATGCTTTTGTATGAATGTCATGATCATGATTCAGTAACAGAGGTGCATCTGGGTTGATCTAAAACACAGTGACTGTGCCACGTTCACTGGGACACATGGCCGTCCAAGGAATTGCACAACTGCTCTTCACAGCACTTATAGTAAGCTTTTATTTATTTCTAATAGTCTTTTCTGTCACATTTAGTTATTTTATTGCCACCACAATTCCTGAAAAACATCATCAATCACAGTTGCACTAACTCTCCTGTTCCACAGCTGTCAACACTGCACACATTTATGCCATGCTTTGGCGTAAATGTCAAAATTGGCGTTCCCGAAAACTACGATGGCATTTTCCCATGGTATCTTGCCAAGGTAAGACATTTAAAGGTGTGAGAACCTCGTTTAATCAATACATTTGCAGTGGTCTCTGGTAGGAATGAATGCCTTGCAAGCTGTGCTCAGGGCAAATAAATAAATAAAACAGAATTGACAAGTCTGCTGCGGCAGAGAGAGAAACAACATGGCATGATTTGGAGTCTTATTTCCTGACATTTGGAAATCTCGCCTCAGACTGGAAAACAAAAATGCGACTCTTACCACTAACTTGCAACGTGGATGTTTTATCTCCACAAATAACATAAGCCTGGCCTGGAGGAGGTTTTCTGTGTGGTTCAGTTGCAAATGCTAATAGTTAGCTTTTAGCCGAGACGTTCTCTGCTTTTTCTGGAGACTAGACTAATAACAGCCTTCGCCGTCATGAGTCAAGATGGGTGAGTCCATGAAAGATAAGTGACAGTGTGAAGTAGATCATTCAGGCTTTTAAATCCTGGAGTTTCACCATCAGAAGCTAATGCAGCAGATCGGTGTAGGAAACTGTTTCATGTTCAGCCTGCATGATGATCTCAGAGACCGATTCTTATCAGAACTAATAAAGAAATGGTTTTCAGTGAAAAACACCTTTCATGATCCTTAAATAATTATACTTGTTTATTTTTCTTTGTTTTTTGTGTGATTCTCAAAATACTAGAATTTTTTAATCAATAGCAAATTTTATAAAATTTTAAAGTTTACAAAATTTCTTTATTTTTAAACCAGACATAACAGTTTTCTCAACGTTCAATAATAAACATGTACTACTCTGCTTTTGTGAGTGATTTTCAAGTTTTGGTAACACTTTACAACAAGGATCCCTTTATTAACATTACTTATTGCATTGATAGGCATTAATAAACTAAGTATCCCTTTATTACAATAGAATAGAATAGAATAGAATAGACTTCATTGATCCCACAGTGGGGAAATGCACTTGTTACAGCAGCACCAACACTTAAGGGAATAATTTGAAGAAAATAATAACAAAGGTACATGTATACACACATAGGCAGTAGTCTAGGATTGTAACTTTCGACCACTAAAAACCACAAATAAAAAGGAAAAAATAAACTTGGGTTCTAGCACTATGCAGCACACTGCAAGAGACATGGACATACTCTGTAAATCTGGTATTGAACGAGTATTGAACACATAATGAACACATAATGAATATTGCACGGGGGTTATTGTGTAACAAGATAATGCCAGTACAGCTTAAACTGAGGAGTTACTTAATGCATTATTAAGCATTAATAAATAAAATAACCCTTTATTAACTTTACTTAATGTAATATTAAGCATTAATAAACAAAATAACCCTTTATTAACTTTACTTAATGCAATATTAAGCATTAATAAACAAAGGGTCCCTTTATTAACATTCTATGTTAACTTTTAAGTGTCCTTAAGATTAGAACAAAGGGCTGGATGTCTGCTTAGTAATGCATTACATAATATGGTTAAGCAGTTAGTTATTTCTTTATTAAATATGTTATTAATGCTTAATAATGCACTAAGTGATGTTAATAAAGGAACCCTTTTGGTACATCATGAATTCAGTCACCATTCCTGCATTTGCAGCTTGCCACTCCTGCTGACCCATAGGGACTTTTAATAAAAGACCATTGTTGCTCTGTAAGCAACAGTAAACAAAGGTTGGTTTAAAGCCAAAATAGCATCTGCTTCCTTTTATTTTCACCCTTTTTTCTGCACTCAAGGCTGAAGATGTACAACGTGCTGCCGTCATCACCACTCTAAAATTGGCATGTTCGCAGCACTTTTCTGGTTGCGACCCAGCTTCTGTCTTTCGTCCAGCTGGGTGGCAGGTGTGTTTTATTCATACGTGTCACTCAGACGTCCTCTGGGCTGCGCATGAGCACACGGCTTTACTGTGATGTCATTCCACATCTTGCATAAAATCAAATAATTTGTCCTGTCTTTTTTATTAAACTGAGTGTCATTAACATGACAAACTCATGGCCTGTTTGGAGGATGATGAGCACACTTGGCGTTATTAATGGAACGAACACAATGATTGCCTCAGATTTGTTCAAGGTAAAAGCCTTTTCACGCTGCTCACAGAGCGGCCTACTTGTTCGTCCTTCCATTTAGATGTCTTCAGTGATTCATTTTGGAACCACAATGACACAAAAACACAGTGGATGGCTTAACTAATGGTTTTTAATTAATCATGAAGGCTGCCTTTGAATAAACATCCCTGGCTGATCTAGTTTTACTTTAACAAGACCTTCCAGCTATTTTGGGAGTATTTGTTAGGGTAAGGATCTCTGACACGAGTGGGCGAGAAGCAGATTAGACCCCAGATGGGTCCATAATTTCTTACTGTCATCCATGTTTTCAGAAACTGGAGTTACAGTAGGTTCCTGCTGCAGAAACAATTATTTGTAAACAACTAAAGGTTCCATGCTATTTTAAACCTTTGGGAACAAAGATAGGCATGGTATATGACAAAGTATTGCTGTTGTCTTTTATCTTAAATAACCAGCCTGAGTTTATGCCCGGAAACAAAATGCTTTGTTTAAGTGAAACTCCCATGCCCACTCCAACAACACGTGCCTGCAACTGCATGTTAGGCATGCTGATTACCGTACTGGCTATGGTAGTCAGTAGTTAAGGCATTCCAGTCCAGCCCTTTAACCACCGGATTACCGAGCCTGCTACATCACGCCAGTCGTCTAACATACATATCTGGCCAAGAGAGTCAGGTGTCAGACCAGCTTCTGGGACAGGAGCAAGGCGTGACGACAAGGCTAGTTTCCATTGATGTTTTACAAGATTTTCTAAGTAAAACTCAATTTTTGCAGCTGAAACAGGAAAATGCATAAATGCAGCCAAATTTTTTATTTTTTTATTTTTATGAAGAAATAATAATATCACATGGTAAAAAGCCCCCCAAAAGTAGATTTTCCATGATGTGGCCACTTTAAACAAACATTTTAATCATTTTTTTTTTCCAAATCAGGATTGGGGTTTTATGAGGTCATCCCGTGAAGCACAGGCACAAATACATTATTATGCGGCTATTTCAGTTTCATCAGCAGAGATATTTTTCGACACCTTGGTCTGATCATGAAATCAACTGCATCCCACATAGTTTATTTTTGTTTTAATTTTTAAATGTTTTAATTCTGTGCAAAAAGATGTAACTGCTCTTGTCTTCATTCCAGGCAGAATGTTTCTATTTACTCACAACCGTGCTGTCAAATTCACGAGCTTACAAATATTTGCTTTTCGAGTCCAGAAAGCAACATCTGGGCTCGAAAAGCAAACAGCTGTTTGGTATGCATCTGATTGGGTCTATTTTTAGCAGAGGAATCATACACAGCTAATGAGCAAGCATGTGCAGACAGCCGCAGCGACGGTGCGTCTAGAGTCTTGTTGAGAGATTTTAAATTCGACAAATGCGCCTGGAAAGTTTTTGTTTCCTGAATCCCTTGTTTGCCATGAACATGTGGATTGTTGTCCATGAGAGACAGAAAATAAAGAAGCTAATTGGTAATGATAAAGAAAAATACTGCCTCCATGTAACCCTAACTCCAAGATCTCTGATGACATTTTAGCGAAGAAACATCACAACATGCCGGTGATTTTTAGTTTAAAGCAAATGATGTATGGATAGATTAAACTCATATTCAGTGAATATAAACCAGTCATTCAGAAAAATATGGTATTCTTCCAAAAACACATTATTTCTTGCTCTATTTTGTACAGCTTCAAAACCTGCCAAGCAATTTCACCGACCTGGTGCTGACAGGAGATGACGAAGGAATATTTGGAGTTGACGCTCCGTTTCTGTTTGCCATAAAACCCCTGGACAGAGAGAAACAGCCGTCCTACTCGCTACAGGTAGAAAAACATGTTTTAGTGTTAAACGGATGTTTATTTCTCCCTCAAATTGACGGTGAAGTTGTAAATTGATCCCAGCACATTCTTATCTTTGTGTTGCAGGTGTCCTTCAGATCATCGGAGGCTCCTCAGAACATCAGATCTCCTGTGCATCGTCAGAGCTTCACAGTTGAAGTGTGTGTCATAGACAAAAATGACAACGTGCCCACTTTCATAGAGGAGAGCATGAGAGGGAGCGTTCAGCTCGGGCTTCTTAAAGGTAATACCTCCAACCCAGTTTCAAACAGCATCTCATGTTATTTAAAACGTGACCACATTCTGTAACATCACGCAGATGTTACCACTTGGTGTTCTTGCATCATCTGCATCTCTCAGGAATCCCATTCATGCAAGTGGAGGCTCTGGACCGCGATGACCGAAACACCCCTCACGCCGAGCTGCGCTTCAGCCTGATGGAGCAGACCCCCAGGATCCCATCTAGTCAGATGTTCTTCATCGACTCCATCAATGGAGAGGTTTCCCTCACCGAAGAAGGTCACTCCTTACTTTTTATTTGTAAATTCTGTGATGAAAAGTTATTTTTTTCTCCAAACATATTTTTTAGAAGATTGCAAACTCTACTTTAGTCATGTTTCTCGTACCGATTTCTTTTATTTAAGTGCCATAATCTTCTTTTGACCTCTGCAGTTGAAGTTGACACTCATGCCTGTCACAGCCTGTCCTGTCTCCCCACTCAGTTCAGTTCTGTGTCTCTCCTGATTGCTCCCACCTGCCTTTCATCTCCCAATCACTGTAGATCCCAGCTCCTCGTGTATTTAAATCCTCCCGATTCTGTCTTCCTTGTCTGTCCATTGTTTCAATGTCCCACGTGCCTTTTATTAAAACCCTGCCTGCCTGCCTTCTCCCCCTGCACTTGGATCCTCACCTCCGCTCACCTCGCCTGCGCAACAGTGACAGAATGCACAGACCTTGTGAAGGATCCAGCGGGGAAACTCTCCCCTGGGAGTACCTGCTCTGGTGGCTCACCCTGAGCCACCGGCTGGCCTCCCCTCCTCCAGCGCCGCCTCACCGCAGACTCCGTCGCCAAACCTCGACCTCGGCGATTCTCTCCACCCTCCCGGAGCCAGATGGGAGGTTGGACTGGGAGACGCAGCCGGACCGCTCCTGCTATGTGGGCACCAGACTGGCTGTGTGCTCCCCCAGGGTTGGCCCACGGTGCTGGGAGGAACCCGGGCCCCACCGTCACCTCCAGCCCCGGAGCTGCACTGCGGGCTCACTGCTACCCCTGCTGATGTCACCTCCAGCTCCTCAGTGAGTCAGCCTCCAGGGGGCTTTGCGAGGACGTCTCGTGGGCGGGGCACCCAGCCAGAGGACACCCCTCCCGAGGTCTCCTCCCATTCCAGTGGGGCCACGAGAGGGACCAGACGGTGAGGTCGAGGGAGCAGAGTGGTGCCACCCATTTCTGAGGCCCCTGCTCTGCGCGCCAGCTTGGACCCCCAGCCTCTGTCTCTGGGCCAGTCAGCACCTCCCTCGTCTACAGGCCAAGGGACCGAGCATGCAGCCCATCCAACAGAGCTCACAGGCCTCCAAGCTGAGCTGGTCCAGCTCCATCAACTCCTAAGCCTCCAGGAGTTCCAGCTGGAGACTCTATCCTCCCTGGTTCTCCAAGAGACGTTTCCAGTCCAGTCAGCAGCCCCGCCTCCAGTCGAGTCAGTGGTTCAGCCTGCAGCGGCTCCGCCTCCAGTCCAGTCAGCGGCTCCACTTGCAGCGGCTTTGCCTCCAGTCCAGTCAGAGGCCCTGCCTCCAGCAGCTCCAGAGACTCCACCTTCAGTCAAGTCAGCGGCTCCGCCTCCAGTCCAGTCAGCGGCTCCGCCTCCAGTCAAGTCAGAGGCCCCGCCTCTAGTCCAGTCAGAGGCCCTGTCTCCAGTCCAGTCAGAGGCCCCGCCTCCAGCAGCTACAGACAGTCAGCCTCCAGTGGCTCCAGAGACTCCGGCTCCAGTGATTCCACCTTCAGTCAAGTCAGCGGCCCCAGCCAAGTCAGCAGCTCTGCCCCTAGTCCAGTCAGCGGCCCCGCCTCTAGTCCAGTCAGAGGCCCTGTCTCCAGTACAGTCAAAGCCCCGCCTCCAGCAGCTACAGACACTCCAGCTCCAGAGACTCTGCCTAAAGTCACGTCAGCAGCCCCACCTGCAGCGTCTACACTTCCAGTCAAGGCAGCGGCCCCACCTGCAGCAGCTCTGCCTAAAGTCCAGTAGGCGGCACCACTCCAGCCGGCGCCTTCAGCGCCTCCACTGTAGTCGGCGCCTTCACTCAAGTCGGCTTCACTTCAGCCGGCGCCTTCAGCGCCTCCATACCAGTCGGGTCCTCCACTCAAGTCTGCTCCTCCACTCTACTCCAGCCGGCGCCTTCAGCGCCTCCACTCCAATAGGCTCCTCAACTCCAGTCGGCTCCTCCACTCAAGTCTGCTCCTACACTCTACTCTAGCCGGCATCTTCAGCGCCTCCAATCTATTCGGCTCCTCCACTCCAGTCGGCTCCACACCAGCCGGCGCCTTCAGCGGCTCCACTCCAGCCGGCACCTTCAGCGCCTCCACTGTAGTCGGCGCCTCCACTCCAGTGGGCTCCTCCACTCCAGTCAGCTCTTCCACTCAAGTCTGCTCCTACACTCCACTCCAGCCAGCACCTTCAGCGCTTCCACTTCAGTCGGCTCCTCCACTCAAGTCAGCTCCACTCCAGCCGGCGCCTTCAGCTGCTCCACTCCAGCCGCCGCCTCCTTCAGCAGCTCCGCTCCAGCCGGCGCCTCCAGCGGCTCCACTCCAGCTGGCAGCTTCAGCGGCTCTACCCTAGCCGACGCCTTCAGCAGCTCCACTCAAGTCGCCTCCACTCCAGCCGGCGACTTCAGCGCCTCCCCTCAAGTCGGCGCCTTCACTCAAGTCGCCTCCACTCCAGCCGGCGCCTTCACTCCAGATGGCGCCAGCCCTGTCCTCGCCCGTCGCCTCCTGCGCCCCAGACGCAGACCCCCAGACTCCGTCTTGGCCTGCATTGGGCGTCCAGTGCCACCCTTTGGGGGGGGGGGGGGGGGGGGGTACTGTCACAACCCATCCTGTCCCCCACTCTGTTCAGTCCTGTGTCTCTCCTGATTGCTCCCACCTGCCTCTTGTCTCCCAATTGCTGTAGATCCCAGCTCCTCATGTATTTAAACCCTCCCAATTCTGTCTTCCTTGTCTGTCTTTTTTCTGACTCTTAAAACTGAAATTAAGTTGTGTTTTTAATTTGATTTAAATTAATTTGTGCATTTTAATTGTGCTGTCAAATTGTTTTTAATGTCCGTGCTGTTCTCGCTGATGGAAAGCCCATTGAATATCCCCTGTATTAAATGTACTACACAAATAAAGTTAACAAAATTAGGCAGACGCACATGTTCAGGTTTATGCTCACATACAGTAAATATTCCGAGCCTTTTCTGCAGCTCTGCTGTTTCCCTTTGTTACAGTTTGACAGGAGCTGGGTGACTTTCACACTCGCTGGTCCTTTTCAGCCCACAATGCTGCTGATTTCCACTTGGCAAAGAGCTCTGACAACTGCCTCCTTGATTTTCTTCTTCGTCTTCAGACTGAAACTGGTTATGATTGCGTCTCAAGCTGTTTCTCTTCCATTTAGGCTTTTAATGAAAACAGTAACCAGGTGTGGGCGTGAGCACGTGCAGTCTTATGTCTCAGTCATCCGAGAAACACTGCAGTCTGTAACGGGTTTTCTGGGGTTCCAGAAGATCTCAAGTCAGGATTTAGTCTTTACATCTCTACATACTTGAGCTGATTTGTGTGCTTCCTCCACCCAATAACACAATGCCTAAATGTTTATGTCATTATTCTGTTTCCCAAACACCCCTCTAGGCGCCTCAACTCTGGACCCAGAGATGTGTGGCCGCTATAAGCTGTCGGTGATGGTGAAAGACATGGCTGGCAGGTCAAATGCTTTCTTCACTACTGGTATTGTGACTGTTGAGGTTACAGGAAACAGCTGGGCATCACCTGACCCAGTACGGCTTCAGGAGAACCTCCCAGGTCCTTATCCCATTCCCATCTCACAGGTGACTGATCCAGATATTCTCTGGCATCAATTATTACAACTTGGTGTAAATTTTTGTTTATTCAGCCACACCTTTAGTGTTACAATGAATCAAACATGGTCAATAGTCTGGACTGAATAAAAACTCATCTCTTTACTGGTTTTTCTTTTTTTTGGAGCCTCTTAGAAGCTCTTTAAGTGATCAAACGCTAAATTATTCAGGTGGTTTAAATGCCATGAATCCTTTCAGGCTTCCTCCTGACTGAGTCACTTTAACTTCCGTTCTCTCTCTCTCTCTCACACACACACACACACACACACACACACACACACACACACACACACACACGCAGTCTAACATGTAACATGTTATTTTAGTCCTACTGGAAAACAAAAGAGACATCAATGTTAAATCTGATTTGGACTCAAATTGGTTGAAATTCCATCACGTTTTGACATTTTGAATTCTAAATGAATGTTTCTGCTTCTGCAGTTTTTCTGAAATATGTATCAAACTGATAACTTCAGTCATATTATCGATAATATTAAGACCACAAAGGGTGGATTAAAAAGACAGATTATTGTTATGGTTACTGTGTTGAGTCACGTATTGAAAGCGTTGACAAAAAGGGTTAGACTCACTTAAAAACTGAATTATTTTGAAATCTTTAATAGAAAAAAATCTCCCTCTGGATCTTCTTGTGATATAAGTTTAATGTCTACAATTTTATAAATTTTCATTTGTGTAACCATATGTAACGATGAATCTACATGTGTTTTGTGCATTTGGAGAAGGTGTTCGACCTCGTCCCTCGGGGGGAGGGTCCAATGGGAATGTGAGCTACCAGCCCCTCTGATAGGGACTGTTAGGTCCCTTTATGACCGGTGCTAGAGCTTGGTCCACTTTGTGTGTTGTACCAGTAGAGGTGAAGAGAGAGCTGAGCTGGATGGCAAAGCTCTCGATTTACTGGTTGATCAAAGTTCCAACCCTCACCTATGGTCACGAGCTTTGGGTAGTGACCAAAAGAATGATATCAAGGATAGAAGTGGCTGACATGAGTTTTCTCCACCAGGTGGCTGGGTTCGGTTATCCTGGAGGGGCTCGGAGTAGATCCGCTGCTCCTCCACATCAAAAGAAGCCAGCTGAGGTGGCTCAGGTATCTAGTTAGGGTGCCTCCTGGATGCATCCCTAGTGAGGTTTTCTGAGCACGTCCAACCAAGAGGAGACCTAAAGGAAGACCCAGAGAACCCTGGAGGGACTATGTCTCTCAGCTGGCCAGGGAATGCCTTGGAAGAGCTGGGAAGTCTCGGCCTCCCTGCTTAGGCTGCTGCTCTCATGACCCGACCTCGGGTAAGCGGATGAAAATAGATGGTAAATGGACTAGAGTCCTGGAACAGCCCCCCCCCCCAAGGTGCTTTACAACACAATCAGTCATTCACCCATTCACACACACACATTCACACGCAGGTGGAGATGAGCTACAATGTAGCCACAGCTGGCCTGGGGCGCACTGACAGAGGCAAGTCTGCCGAGCACAGGCACCACCAGTCCCTCCGACCACCACCAGCAGGCAAGAGGGGGTTAAGTGTCTTGCCCAAGGACACAATGACAGCGACAAACTGAGCGGGTCTCAAACCTGCAACCGTGGCAAGCACGTAACTCCTGTGCCACCATCACCCCAACTGATGGATGGATGTAAAGATTTTAGTTTTGTGGTCAAATCAGTTTCTGATCTCATTCATTGCTTGTAAAAATACAACTCTTATGTGCAACTTGTCTATAAAAACTAAAAACACCTGAAGGTTTTACTATTTTATAATAAAATATCTTGAAGCGTTAACTATCCTTTTAAATATACGTATCATTTTTGTGTGGTAAGAAAAGGTTTTACTCATTCAGTTCTGAGAATCGTGGTGAGAAAGAGGAGTGAAGAAATGATTCAGACTCCAAATCAAATGCTTTGTGTTCAATTCTGATCATCTCTGTGGCCACGAGGCACATCGCAAACCTCCCCCTCCGCTTGTAGTCTTCCACCTCCCCCACACTCACCCTCAGCATCTCATCTCTCCTGTTCTAACATCCTCCTCCACCCACAGAAAATGTGTGAATTCACACAAGTGGGTGAATTTCAGTGCCAGTTGTAATTTTCAATGGTTAATTTTAATTTACAGCAAAGAAAAATTGTAGGTGTTTGGCCTTAAAACAGACTGTGAACTACACAGATTTATCTAAAGATCATTTCTTGTTCTTCCAAAAAAAAAAAATCTGTTTGGAGATGCTTCAGCAAACATGTTTCTTCTTTGTGTTTATTTGAAAAATCCTAACTGAGTGAGAAATGATGCCTCTGTTGCTCCCGTTCACTCCGTCTGAGAACATTTTGGTGACAGTCCTCCAGCTGTCCTCATCCTAAAACACTAAATCACACCGAACCAGATGAGGCAGACATGGTGTGCGCTGAGGGGAAGCCTCGTTTCGCCCACGCATAGAAGCTGTCCTGCTGTTCTCAGTGGCTGTTGGGACTAACTGCTGTTATGACACATACAGAGACGACTGTTCAAGGAGACACTATGCATCCCACCTCCCTCGCTGTCATGTATAAGTGGAGCAGTTGTGTCCACACATCCTCTCAGCTGTTGTCTTGAGCGTGCTGATTCTGTCCACGGTGCTGAAATCAGGGTGCTGTCAGAAGTCAGTTATGAAGATTGATCCTCTGGCTGATTTAATTTATTCTGCTGAAATTTTAATAAGAGGTTTCTGTTATTGTTATCAACGCTCATTTGCCTTTTGGTCTCCAGAGGTTCATTTCAATCAGAAATATGTTTCTGATTGAACAAAACTTGGACTACATAATGCAATCATCAAACTACTTGAACCCACTAATGCAAACTACTGGTGATGTCTGGTGATGGGTTAAAGGGCCCCAACAGCAGTGAATACATGAATATAGAATCCGAACTGCAGAAAGTTGTCCGCTTTCACAGTTAGACTCGATCTCCCATCACAAAAAGGTGTGTGCGCTTCTTTCTGTAGTGTTGGTAAAATATCATCGGGTGTTTATCTATGAAATTCTCAGACAGCTATCGTTCTTTGGACGTCGACAACTTTAGGAGTTTATTTAACCCAGCCACTGTCCTAATGGGTGACCCCGCGAGGAAAGTTGACCATTGAGCAGGATTGATGGTTTATCTCTTGAGGTCCACGTGGCAGGGGTGAGGAGGCACTCACTCCTCACCCCTGCCACATGGACCTCAAGGGATAAACCATCAACCCTGCTCAATGGTCAACTTTCCTCGCGGGGTCACCCATTAGGACAGTGGCAGGGTTAAGATGGCCTCTGCCCAAAAATGGCAACAGCTCAGTCAGTCACTCAGATATTGAGGTAAAATATGATGCTGTGGTAACTGAGAGTCATTAACAAAACAGTTATTTTTATTTATGCTAATAAAGGGTCACAATAATGTTTTAAGATCAGCATCTTTGGCCTTCATTGTCAGAGGTGATCTATCGCTGCAAAACAAGTAAAAGGATTTCAATTACTACAAAGAAGATGAACAGAAAAGAGTTTTTATTTTACACATAAATAAAAAAAGGGCTCATGTAAGAAAGCCCAGCAGTTTGCATCGAGTCACTGACGTGTGTCAGAGACGTTGCAGCAATCCCCATACTGAGCAAGCATGTAGCGACAGTGGGGAGGAAAACTCCTCTTTAATTCGCCAGGGTTTTGAGAAGACGGAGGAGAAAGAGACCAGATGCACGATATCAAAGAATCAAAAAAAAGAAATTCAGATTAACTAGTAGTAGCACATGGTCTTGAGTTGGAAAAGCGTAGAATGCCTTCTCCAGGTCAGGGATGAGGTCCTGCCTCAAGAGGAGGAGTTTTGAGTATCTGGGGTCTTGTTCATGAGTGAGGGAAAGATGGAGCTCGAGATTGATAGGCGGATTGGTGCTGCGTCTGCAGTGATGCGGGCGTTGTACCGATCTGTCGTGGTGAAGAGAGAGCTGAGCCAGAAGGCAAAGATCTCGATTTACTGGTTGATCTACGTTCCTGGTCACGAGCTTTGGGTAGTGACCGAAAGAATCCGATTGTGGATACAAGCAACTGAAATGAATTTTCTCAGCAGGGCTGTTCCTTAGAGATAGGGTGAGAAGCTCGGTCATCTGGGAGGGACTCAGAGTAGATCTGCTGCTCCGCCAGTTGAGATGGCTCGGGCATCTAGTTGGGATGCCTCCTGGACGCCTCCCCGGTGAGGTTTTCTGGGCATGTCTAACCTGGAGAATAACTAAAAAGAGACCCAGGACACACTTGAGGGACTATGTCTCTCACCTGGCCAAGGAACACCTTGGGGTTGCTCCAGAAGAACTGGCCCAAGTGGCCGGGGAGAGGGAAGTCTGAGCCTCTTGACTAAGGCTGCTGCCCCCGCGACCCGACTCAGTGGAAGAGAATGGATGGATGATAGATGGATGGTAGTAGCACATTCTGTGTTAAAGAAAGTGAAATGTTATTATCAGGAGAGGGAGAATGTTCAATGGTTGGTAGCAGTGTGCCAGTTGATGGCCCCCTCCATGAGACTGTGACAGCTCAGCAGAATGTCCCATCAGTTGTAGCTTCTCTGGAGAGAAAAAACACATTTAGATTAAACATAAAGTTAACATATGAAATGAATGGAAATGATGCAATTGGAGAGCACTGGTGGGGGAAAGTAGTAGTGTGGAAAGTTGTCAGAAGGTCATCCAGCAGTCTAAGCGTATACAGGGAATTAAAGGGTTAATGTTCCACAGTCTGAAAACACACCAAAGACGCATTGTTCACGTAAAGTCCTGCTTTTGAGCAGCTACGTCTGAAACCAGAGTGTTTGTGTGGCAATGAGACGAGGAGATCCTCGTGTCTGAGGTGTGTGAGATACGTCTACGCTCCTGTCCTTGTTGGGCGATGTTTGATGGCTACTAAAGCCTTTTCAGCCTCTCTGCACAGCCTGATGCTGTCAAGGGTCATAAAGCAGAGTGGAAAATCCCCTTTAGCCTGTGCTGTTAGTTTGGCTGTGCTTTCTGTTTCTTATCACTGCCTTTAGTTGGTCTCTTGTCATATAAACAAATGGTAGCTTAGCAGTGCTTTTACCTCTAACACACTTTGTTGCAAATCTCTCAGGTTTGTGGTGAGTCACTAATGATTTATTTTGCACGCAGTGCCTCGTATTCATTAAATGTCTTTTGTGTGTCTGTGCTTGTGTGTTTGCTGAATCAGGTGAAGTGGAGTGGGAGTCAGGCAGTGTACAGTCTGGATGGAGAGTTTCCAGAGATGCTCTTCACCATCAGCAGAGAAGGTGTCATTTATCTGAATGCTCCTCTGGACAGAGAGACACAAGACCAGGTCTGCTGCTGTGTAACTAAACATTTCCACATCTTCTAAATGAATCGCAGTTTGAACATTTATGGAAGGCCGATCCGTTATTAACACACGCATTTAGGCACAGTTAGCTTAATAAAGTCTGGTTGCACTTTTGATGTCACTTTTAATCTCCATTTAAAGTTTTCAGCTTTGAAATCTTCATTTCAATTTATCATCCAATTAAAAGCAATGAGACATTTTAATTAACCCTTAGACACGCCCTTGCAGCTTTCAGTGTCAGAACTCTCCCACAAAGCTGTGTGCTGAACACGTTTCTATTCATAAAACCATCAGAGGTAATGAAGGAAACAGCCCAACACCTGAGGAGCACAGGCTAGTTCCTCCAACACTTTGTGCCTGCGGTGGAGGATTATGGTGTTCTGGTGAGGACTATTTGTAAAAGGGATTCTGTTCAAATCATATTAATTTGTGTGGGAGGATTACACTTTGAGGTCCATTTGTGGGCATTTTGGTGCACAATTTAAGCTCCAGAGAGCTTTGAATGGCTCAGTGAACAGTACATTCTAGCACAAATGCTCAAGTGGCCAAAGGACAAGAGACAGACCATTAGTGGATGTTTCATAAACGCTCAGAACATAGCAGGTATTGGTCTTCTGCATTGATCTTTGTGATGACAAGTGGGACATCTTTTATCTACCTAATGTATTTTGGTGTTCAGATAAGAGAAACACTAGGTTAGTTCCTCCTGCTTGGTGCAACATAGCAATAAGACGGAAATGTTGAATCTGTATCAGCCTTATCATTTTCACATTCTAAGTTTTCTATCAATATCTACAGAAGTTCTAAATGATGACCAGAGACAAATCTATCAACCCATTCACCCATGTACATTTAAATTAGATTCAGTTCAGTTTATTTATAGAAAGCCTATTCTCAACGAGTTATGACAAAATGCCGAACAAAACAAAAAAAAGTCTAATTTATGTCAAAACGGGTCCAATTAAGACCAAATCAAAAGAGATTCAATAGATAACAATAGACCTTTTCCACCAATGCCTCCACGTGACATGACTTATTTTGGCCTGGCTTTTTGTAAAGCCATGAGTCTGGAAAACCCTTACGATCTATCTGATTAATCACAAAATAAGCCATTTTCATGACAGCAACAATGTAAAAATTTACAATAAGGGTGCCTTTATTAACCCTACTTAGTGCATTACTTAAGCATTACTAAACAAAGGGTCCCTTTATTAACGTTACCATTATTAACTATTAAGTGGCTTTAAGGTGAGGACAAAGGCCCTGGGGGGGAGGGTGGTGGAAGTGGGGATGGGGATGGTGGTAGTAGTAGTAGCAGTAATAGTTGTAGTAGCAGTAATAGAAATAGTAGTAGTAATAGTAGTAGTAGTTGTAGTAGTAATACTAATAGTAGCAGTTGTAGTAGTAGTAGTAGTTGTTGTTGTAGTACTAGTAGGAGTATTAGTTGTAGTAGTACTAGTAGTACTAGTAGTAGTAGTAGTAGTAGTAGTAGTAGTAGTAGGAGGAGGAGGAGGAGCAGTAAAAGAAATAGAAGTAGTAGTAATAGTAGTGGTAGTAGTAGTAGTAGTAATAGTAATAGTAGTAGTAGTAATAATAATAGTAGTAGCAGTAAAAGAAATAGAAGTAGTAGTAATAGCAGTGGTAGTAGTAGTAGTAATAGTAGTAGTAATAGTAGTAGTAGTAGTAATAATAGTAGTAGTAGTAATAGTAGTAGTAGTAGTAATACTAATAGTAGCAGCAGTAGTAGTAGTAGTAGTAGTAGTAGTAGTAGTAGTAGTAGTAGTGGTAATAGTAGTATTAGTAGTAGTAGTAATAATAGTAGTAGTAGTTGTAGTAGTACCATTAGTAGTAGTAGTAATAGTAGTAGTAGTAGTTGTTGTAGTAGTAGTAGTGGCAGTAGTAGTAGTAGTGGAAGTGGTAGTAGTAGTAGTGGCAGTAGTAGTAGTAGTAGTAGTAGTAGTAGTAGTGGTAGTAACAGTAGTAGTAGCAGTAGTAGTAGACGTGGTAGCAGTAGTAGTAGTAGTAGTAGTAGCAGTAGTAGTAGCAGTAGTTGTAGTAGTGGTAGTAGTAATAGTAGTAGTAGTAGAAGTAGTTGTAGTAGTGATAGTAGTAATAGTAGTAGTAGTAGTAGTAGTAGTAGTAATAGTAGTAGTAGTAGTAGTAGTAGTAGTAGTAGTAGTAGTAGTAGTAGTAGTAGTAGTGGTCATAGTAATAGTAGTAGTAGTAGTAGTAGTAGTAGTAGTAGTAGCAGTAGTTGTAGTAGTGGTAGTAGTAATAGTAGTAGTAGTAGCAGTAGTTGTAGTAGTGGTAGTAGTAATAGTAGTAGTAATAGTAGTAGTAGTAGTAGTAGTGGTAGTAGTAGTAGTAGTAGTAGTAGTAGTAGTAGTATACGAACATAAGTAACTGGCTGCATTTATTCACTCTGTATTTAAACTTCCTGAATCAACCATAATTTTTCCCTTGTTAGTTCCAGATCAGTATTGTGGTTGAGCGTCCAGATGGTCGACAGATCGCCAAGCCAGTGGAGCTGAGGGTGATGGTGGGCGACGCTAACGACAACAGACCCACCTTTCCTCAGTCACAGTACCACACTGTGGTGAAAGAGCTGGCAGCTCGGGGTAAGAACGTAGCTCTAAAGGACTTTTAAACAGTAATCATAAAACGGACTGTTAGACTTGAGCTGAGGATGGACTGTTCTGATTTAAAAGTCCACGCAGAGCTACAAAACTTGAGTTTGAATGTGAACAAAAATAAAAATCAATCACCACCGTTTATTTTTTGCTTGTTTTTAAAGCAAGACTAAAGCATAATTGATCATAAGCAATTGTGCACGAAAGTTTTATTCTTTCAGGAGTGATCTTGTACTGACTCATTCTGCAGCGGTGCAGCTGCAGCTAAAGCGCCTCCACTTTGGAGATGTCGTGTAAAGCAAGATCACAAAACCCATTTATGTCAACGTATACAACTTTTCTTCACTGATAGAATTTCCTACATCTTGTGAAGTGAGAGATTAGGTCAAGAACGGTGCAGAACAAAAACGAAACACAATGAATCTGAACACGTCCCCGTCTGATTAACTCTATTTTTAGAAAGTGCTGCCACAGCGATGAAAGCAGGGAGGGTGCCAGAGACCTTTTTTGAGCACATTTTGGGATTTTTGCCAGGACTCAGGGAAAGCACCCTCAGTCTTCCCCGGGCTCATATAAACCGTGGTGTGTTGTGACATATGAGGTCTCAGCAGAAAAGCCTTTTGTTGATGCTTTTAAAACGATTTGATTCTGGGAAATGAATTAGACGGGACAATCTGTTAATCTAACCTGATTCACCAAGTGACTTATAAATCAGGGTTACCCTGACTTTGTTATTTTGATTCAGTGTCTAAGTGACTGTCTTAGAGAGAAGGACATTTAAGGCTTTTGCCTCAACTTTTTAAATGATCTGTAGGTTTCGATGTTTTTATGTTTATTAGCATCTAAAAATAGATGTTTTAGAAGCTGTGTGATCTTCTTCCTTTAAAGGTGTTCTGTTATTGCTCTCTCCTGGACTTTTCTTCCCCAGGAACAGAAATCCTGACAGTCCAAGCAGCGGATAATGATGATCCCAAGACAGACAATGTACGAATCTTCTACCGCTTAGTTGGACAAATTCCAGAGAGTCCTCGTGCCCTTTTCAGAGTGGACCGGGATTCAGGAGTCATCTCTGTTCAGGCGGACAGCATGGAGGGTACAGCACCCCAGTACACCCTGACCATCACCGCTGAAGACGCTAAAGGTGAAAACAAAACAACCTCCGGCTCAGATTGACGTTATTCTCGTGAAAAACCAGCTGTGTCGCTTATTAAAGCGTTTCTTGTGTTTGAAGAAACACATCTAAATCATTTTATCTGTAACTCACTGAAACAGAGAGCTGATGGGACAGTAGCTATTCCAAAGACACAATAATAATGTGTAGCTCCTGTCCTGTGTGGACAAGAGGAGCGTTCTCGTGTGGTATTACTGGTTGTGTCGATGAGCTGGGGTCAAACGGATGAATACGTACAGCCTCTGGGTGAGAGATGATGTGGGCTCTGTGTGACTCACAAACTTGCAGAGTGATGGAAGCAAGATGTGCTGTTCCTTCAGCATGTTTGCTTTGTGACCCTGAGTCACTAACAGAAGCTGTGATGATGTTGTTGGCAGGTCTAAACAGTTCCTGTACGGTGGTTGTGACGGTGCAGGATGAAAACAACAACCCACCGGTTTTCTCCCAGCATGAGGTACTACAGGACACACACACACACACACACACACACACACACACACACACACACACACACACACACACACACACACACGGTTCTGATCTGCCCATCATCTCCTGAGGGCTTCGTAAACAATAGCTTTAGGGGGAAAACACCGTGATGAGCAGATCTTGGATCTAGACTGTAACCTGAATGTCATTGATTTCATTTTCTTGGCGGGGAACCAAATGCGGTCACTAATCTCTGGCTTGTTGTTCACAATCACAGAGAGTTCAATCTGATAAAACTTTCAGCAGAGACGAGCTTCAACTTGTTGGTTGATTCTACCTTCTGACCAATATTACTGGCTAATATTAAGTCAGTGTGGTCTTAGAAAGTCCTTTATAATGTGAATTTCTTTCCCATTGAGATTTTCTCTTCATCGGCAGTGATAGCAATACCAGGAGCCACTCCCAGCACCAGTTCTTAACTTGAACTGTTCCAGTAGAACAAAGCATCGTTATTGTAGCTGCAGTCCAAACTCCAAATAAAACTCTCCTGTGGCTTCCTTCTTTTTGGTGAAGTTAATGGTGGAAACAGAACAAAAGGCTGTTATTCTAAAAAAAAAATCTACTTCTGCCCACATTAGCTGCGTATTGAAGGGGAGCGCTGAAAAGCCACGAGGGCTGGAGGTAATGTGGGAGAGTCGTCACACTGTGATAATTGGTGAGCAGTCAGAAGCTGTTCCCTGACAGACCGTGGTGACACTAAAAGCCTCCAAACACTTTATGAGCTGTAAGGGCACGCTTGCTTCAGGAAGGACGAGGTGCAATGGCTGCTAGCTTAAAGAGCAAGGCACCCCCTACCAGAGTATTACTCCGCTCCCACTTCCTGTTTGAAAAATGCAACAAATGCTGTTGCCTAGCAGACCGAGAGGGCGGAGCCGCTAACAAACACACACACACACACACACACACACACACACACACACACACACACACACACACACACACACACACACACACACACACACACACACACACACACACAGGCTCACAATGACATTGTGACATCATATCGTACCAGCTAACGTTCTAGGGTACCTCTTAGCCAATAGCGATGGCAGATTTAAAATCAACTGCAGTGCAGAGTTTTTACCTGACAACGGCACAACATTTACAGTTTTAGGCAGAAAATTATAATTTTAACAAAAATGCACTAAAGTGCTAAACTATTAGTGTCTGCAGCACGATTGGACATGCATTTATATAGTTTATCAGGAAAAAAAAAGTTGATTTGGGGGTGACTTGCTCTTTAAAGAGAGTGGGATTGAATTTAAGCATGAAGGAGGAGGATGTTGCCACGTAGGATAAAGTGAAAGCTGTTGAATTAGAATAGAATAGAATAGAATAGAATAGAATAGAATAGAATAGAATTTATTGTTCCTCAGTGGGGAAATTTAGGTCAAACAGCAGCAAAGTTGATCCTAACCCTATCAAAATCATAACACATTTTGATAAACCATTTAATCCATTTTCATCCGCTTGTCTGGGGTCGGGTTGTGAGGGCAGCAGCTTAAGCAGAGAGGCCCAGACTTCCCTCTCCCCAGCCACTTGGGCCAGCTCCTCCAGTGGAATCCCAAGGCGTTCCCTAGCCAGCTGAGAGACATAGTCCCTCCGGCGTGTCCTGGGTTTAGGTCTCCTCCCGGTTGGACGTGCCCAGAACACCTCACCAGGGAGGCGTCCAGGAGGCATCCTGACTAGATACCCTAGCCACCTCAGCTGGCTCCCCTTGCTGTGGAGACTGTTTGCAAGGAGTAAGAACATACATGGAAAACTGTGTAAATGAGATATTAATGCATAAATGCAAGAATAACCAAAAATAAAACGTGTGCAAATAAAAAGTGGCAGGAATACAAAAGGGTTATAATGTAATAATAATGTATTTCACTAAATATGTAAAAATGCTGCTGACAATTTAAATTGTGGGAATTTGACTAAATTAAATCTCTTGTTTTGTTTATTTTATTTTTGCTTTATTTTATTTATTCACATTTTATTTTATTTCAGTGATCAAGGTGCAAAAAATATTCAAATACATTTCTAGAAACTATTTATTTAACAAGTTAAACATTTTTTCAACAATTTTCTATAGTTTATTAATTTCATTAAAAAAGCAAAAGTGGCCAAACAAAGTACCGAGTACAGATGCTGCATCTGTACTCGGTACTTTGTTTGGCCCCGGAGATGGATGATCATATTTTTTAGAGGTCTGACATTTCTCTATTTAAAATCCTTCTTTTGTTGATTTCATTCTAATTGTCTGAGATTTTGCATGTGGGGTTTTCATGAGCTGTGAGCCGTAACCATCCCAACCATAACAAATACTCTGCACGTATTGAGTCTGTCTAATACATTAGTTTCCCCTTGCATTAATGAAATAAATGGACTTTTGCCCATATTCCAACTTTTAAAGTTTTACCTGTATTCTGTCATTTTTTTCATGAAAGAAAATTCTTTTATTTACACAAATAAGAAAATAAGTTATTTTTTAAGACTATGATCTGAAGGCCAATGCTCAGAATCATGAAATGCATCATTTTTAAGTCAACTTTTCGAGGTTTCTGCTCTTTGTTCACTTATGAAAAAGAGAATCTCTCACCGCTTGGGTCACTTTTGTAAATTTGGACACTTTTTGCATCCAGAGACCCAAAATGTCAACTTCAAAGTAAAAGGTGACACCATGGTGACAAGGTCTATTTATCAGAAAAACATAAATAACAACGTTTTTACTAAGACAACATTCTTTGATAATATCTTTCACCAGTCTGATATACTTTGTTTATCCTAGTCCTTTTAATTTTCATCATATCTAAACACCTAATGTTGAGCTGTTAAAACTCTAACAGATATGGTTACCACAGCTGCACTCACACACAAACACAGAGGTGGAAAATGCTCTTGAACAGGTCACGCCTGAGGAGAGCAGCTTTTTCCACGGCCGTGTGAAGGCAGTGCCGCGTGGGGGGAGGCGGGGTTGATGTGGGAGGCGAGTGGTGACAGGACTGGGTTCAGCAGCGCTGCGGATGGGGCAGCCAGATCACAGGCACGGCTGCTTCACTGGAGGACATCTGTGAGTGGCGGATTAAACGGCTGTCTAAACATACGGGGGGGGGGGGGGGGGGGGGGGAGGGAGGAATAAAGGTCACTTAGCACCACAAGGCCAAAAGGGGGAAACAGATTCTCACATGTAGTCCCATTTCACCACAAGCAAAAATGAGACGTAGTCATCTATAACTTGTTTATGGAGGCTGGAAATAACCATTCCTACTTGTTACATTTCATGTGATTTTTCTCAAAATCATGAATAATTCCATTATCTCATGAAAATAATGATAATATCTCAAAAAATAAGTTGGAACACCCACCCTTACTGGCTCTCATATAGGTATCACATGAGCAAAGGTCTGAAGAAAACCATAGACACATATAATAACTACACACACACACTGCCTGTCCAAAAATAAAGCTGCCACCTGGATTTAACTGAGCAAATAGGTAGGAGCCTCCTGTTGGATAATTACTGCATGGCTGATCTTTCAGCTGGCAACAAGTTATTGACCCTAAACTGATGCAATGAGTTTTTTCTCGTTTCTTAAACATTCACGTGGAAAGGCACATCTGGTGGTCATGGAAAAGACACCATTTTCACACATGGACCTTAACCCAATTGAGAATCTTTGGGATGTGCTGGAGAAGGCTTTGTGCAGCGGTCACACTCTACCATCATCAATGCAAGATCCTGGAGACACATTAATGCCACACTGGATGGAAATAAATCTGGGGACCTTGCAGAAGTTGATCGAAACAATGCCACAGCAGATGCATGCCGTAACCAAAGCTAAAGACAGTCCAACAAAATATAACCTTTTTTGGGAGGTGACTTTGTTGTGCCAAGCAGTGTAGAAATGTAAGGTAAACATGAAAAAACTCCCCTTAGTGGCAGTCTGCAGATCAAGTTTTCATTCCTGCCATCTCCATATGAATTGAAAGGGATGTTGTCTGATTGAAAAACAAAAAATATACCTCCGATGATTATCTCTGGGTTTTGAATCCTGTAGATTCAGTTAAAATTGTAGATATTTTAATCTTGTGTGTGCAGTTGAGCAAGAAGGACTTTTATAAAACACAAAATAGCATCACTCACACCTTCATGTTATAAACAAAGGCAGGAGACAGAGAAGTTCAGCCAGACATGAAGATAACTTTTACATTCAGTTTTTTATTTTTTTTATTTATTTTTTCTGAGTGAGTGATTTCTGCAAAGTGATCATCCATTTTTCCATTTCCTTGTCCTCAACAGTACGGACCATTTCACATTTCAGAGGAGGCTCCGGTGGGCACCACGGTGGCAGCTGTGGTGGCAAGGGATGCAGATGTTCGAGGTGGAGACAGCTGGCAGGTGGACTACCGTTTAGAGTCCGGAAATGAAGAGGAAGTCTTTATGTTGGTGACTGATCGACAAACCAATGAAGTCTCACTTGTGCTTGCCAAGGTGATTATAGATGGGATCACTTATCAGTGCTAGAGTCACATAAATACACTTTAGAAAGATAATAAACAAACATCTAATTTCTTAAGACCAGATGCAAACATCAGGAGTGATTTTAGGCATAGTGGCTCAAGTTTGTCCTAGCAGCATGTCTGTGCGCTTGCGTGCATGTGTGTATGTGCGTGCATGTGTGTGTGCTTACTCTAATGGTCTGCTCTCTGTAAGTGGGACAGGCAGGAGACAGCCTATGTCAGGCTCTCTGTGGGAGAATGAATGAGATTGAACTGTGCACTGCACATGCACAAGTGAGATAAAGCAGATGTAGGAAAGCTAAAAATGGACGTTGACGCACTGCTTTGAGGTTAAAACACAAACAACTCTGTTTTTTTAGCTATGGTGTCTTGGGCTGCCTTTCTGTGGTCAAAGCTCTTGTATCAGTAAGCAACCCCCCCCCCCAGGATTCCAATGCTCCAAGTCAAATGATTAGAAATTGCAATTTGCTCTGATTTTAAATGACTCAAACAGCCTCTGTGGCAGTTCCTGCTGCTGTAGATGTGTCCTGGTAAAACGATTCACTTGCATCTCCACTGAATCTATTCACTGTGAGGTGTTCAACATTTCTAAATCCCTGCAATATTGGAAATAAAAGAGCTAGTTCACCATCTCTCCTTAATGTCAAACTCACTATGGCTGTTATTATGACTGCAGTGTTGACATTACTCAACTGTAGCTGTGCCTGTTGCCATAGACATGCCTTTGTTTATGGAAATATGACAGTGACACCCCTTTTAATGGTTATTGCATAACGTTAGTTTGTCATTGTGTTGAAGTCAGCATGCTCCTGAAAACATGTAGCATGCTTAAAGAATGTTTCAGAGGTGGAATGTGAGAAAAATACCCACGGCTTCACCCCTCACGGTCAAAGAGAGCAGCAGGAGCATCTGGACACAATCATACAACGAGAAATGGCCACCAAGTGCATCACACACAGTGTAGCCATATCTCTCCCTAAAGCTGGAGTTGAGAGACCCTACTCGGGATGAAACACCGAGTGGAGTTTGGGATGATCCAAAGAAATCAGGCTCATTTGCTGTGACTCTGCAGTCATGCGAAACTCAAATGGGAGGCAGGAAGTGTTTTGCTCCACTACAAAACGCAGTGAGATGAATGAAAGCGATTTTAGCTTGTGCTGTTTGTGGAGATAAAACATCCACGTTGCAAGTCAGTGGTAGAGTTGTGTTGATGTTACCCAGTCAGAGGCAAGATGTCCAGATATGAGGAAATAAGATTCTAACTCCTGCTGTCTGCTGCCGGTCTTGGCGGTGCTGATCCAAGAAATTTTGGGCTTTTTTTGCTTGAAAGGCTTGAAAGGCATTCATTCCTATCAGAGACCACTGCAAATACATTGATTAAACGAGTTTCCCACACCTTTAAGAATTCTCGTGAGATATGAGCAGAGCAAGGAATAAAAGAGCAGCCAGATCATTTTTGCTCAATTTAGAGGTGTTTAAATTTTTGTTGAACAACAAGAGCAACAGTGTCAGTTTACGGAATCAGAAAGAGCCTGAGTTCAACGCAGTGTGTCTCTTCGATTCAAGGTTTTTTATCTTTCTTTTTTTTTTTTTTTTTTTTTGATAATAGAGGTTCAAAAGACTGACTGTAGCCTCCAGAGAGTCATGCTGATACACTCTGAGTCTCTGGATGCGTCACTTCCATTCAGCAGCAGCAGCAGCACTCATCTATCCTCCAAGGCTTGGTTTGCTTCTCCTTGGCAACAGGGACACGTTCAGCATGATGTGAGCTGCATGATGTCAGTCAATGCCCGCTTTTCACGTGTTTTATTGGAAGACAGAGCATACACAAGACAGGCACTTATAAAACATGAGCTCAAGAGTCAGATTTGGTCATCTTTGTTGGTTTTATTAGAAACAGGAGACAAATGTTAAAAACGTATTATTATTAAGTCAAAACTGCATAATTTTTCCTAATGGCTCCACTGTAAATTTACATAATTTTTTAGTTCAAAGCCCATATTCAAGGAATAGTAAAGGTGGATTTGTTTTTTTATATTTTTTTTTCCATACAAGATATATTCTGTAATTTCATACATTGGGTTATCCAGGAAACATGGATGTATAGTCACATAGCATGCATTCAGCAGGACTAGTGTCTGCATCTTATTAGAAATCCAACCATTCTTTGCAGTAAAAAAAATCTGGATTTCTTGGAAGTCTGATGAGCTCATTGGACACGGGAGAGTGCACCGTGTGCTTTTTCTGCTGGATGATGGCACGCCATTTTTAAATAGTTCACTTGTGATGCAATCTGACAACATAAAGCTGTGTGCCTTTATTTGATTCAAACAATGTCATTTGGGAGAGTTTTATAAATAAAATTTGTAGTTATCGTTCACAAAATAAGCAGTACAAGGACCAGTTTACCCAGGTGAAAAGAGGAAAATGTGGTGCTGCACTAGTATTTTATAACTCTCTTGTCACAGGTGTTAGACTTTGAGCGTGAAAGCGAGTACATCCTGGTGCTCAGTGCCCAGAATCCTGTTGCTCTGGTCCGTGGCCGATACGGCCCTTCGTCCACGGCAACCGTCTCCATTTATGTTGATGATGTGAACGAGGGTCCGATCCTGTCTCAAAGTCATTACGAGGTGACCGTCAGAGAAGGGGAGGAGCCAGGACGGGTCATCGCCACCATTCGGGGTTATGACCCCGATTCTCACCCGATAAGGTACCAAACTCGGCAGATGCTTTGACGATCATCGTGTCTCTAATTTTACAAAATGACATGCTTTTCTTCAGATATTCTCTTCAAGGGGACACCAAAAAATACTTTTCAATAGGAAAGTATTCTGGTGAGCTGAAGACAGTGCAGGCTCTGGATAGAGAGGAGAATAGCACGTACACCATGGAGGTCATTGCAGTGGATGGACGTAAGAAACCTCCGCTGATCAAAAGTTCACTTTTTATATAAGTCCAGTTGTTGGTGAGGTGTGCTCTTTTACCTCTTCTCAGGAAACTCCTCCTTGTCTGCTTCCACCCTGGTGACTGTCCACATCCTAGACGTAAACGACAACAGTCCGGTCCTGGTTGGAGACTACTCCTGGAAGTACCTGTGCACGCCTCTGTGGGAAGGCCAGGCTCTGGTGCTGGCTTCACGCGACAGCGATGGACCTCAACACGGAGGGAGACTCAATTTCTCGCTCCGCAGTGATGTCACAGTTCGCCGTAACTGGAAACTCACCCCTATTAACGGTGAGGAGGAAACAGAAGCTGCATTCCGGAGTTTTCCCCTTTCAGAAATGATGAATGATTTTTCAGAAATCCATAAAAGTGATTATCTCATCATGTACTGTGACAAAATGTAAGCAATACGTCTTTATTTATTTATTTATTTTTGCTAAGCACGCCTCCTGCCCTGCAAAGCTCCATTAAATAGGGAACTGAGCGCCAACCAGAGCTAACCAATTAGACTATCGCTTATTTGCGTCACATTTAAGGAATACCTCGGTTGATGCAGAGTTGATGAACCTTTCACGGACAAGTTAGTCTCTAAAATATAAAATATATGAAAACACAACATGACATGAGAATAATACTCGTAAAACAGCGTGTTTTAGCTTCGTTTGTTGGCTAAGAAGCACATTTATTAACAGAAACGTGAAGTCGCGATCCAGAAACCAGTAATCCAAATATAGATTTAATATTTAACTCTTCTCTGACATGCATGGACAAAAGGGATAAAAGTATTTTGGCAAACATTTTATAAGTACATTACAGCATATTTGAAATAGATAGCTTACTTTTGGTATGATTAACAGTTGGAGTCAACACTGATGGTTAGAAACATTTAAAGAGATGGATTTCAGTGAAACTCAGAAAAGCATAACTGAAAATGAATCTAGAAAAATCAACATAACCGCACGATTAAAACAAATCAATTTAGATCTAATTAAATACACTGATTAAATTCAGATTCAAGAATCTGATAAAAGGCAATGGTAAAGTTACAGTGCTGAAGGGAAAGCAAAATAAACATTCATTCAAAGACTGATGGATGCATGAATGTTTTCTATTTTGATTTAAAAGTTACTAGAGTTGGGGCACATTTGAGGTCATAGGGAAGCTGATTCCATCTGTGAGCAGATGTAGCTTCACCTCGTTTGGCTCTGACCCGAGGTTCTACCAGCTGACTGCTTCATAAGGATCTCAGAGTCCTGCTGGGTGTAGCCACTAGAAGGAGATCCAACATGTATTTTGGCCCCATGTCACTGAGTTCGATTCAATTCAATTCAAGTTTATTCACATAGCGCCAGATCACGACACGAGTCGTCTCAAAGCACTTCACACAGTAAACATTCTATATAGCTCAGTTCATTAAGCCAATTAGTAAAAAGTTTCCATATAAGGAACCCAGCAGGTTGCATCGAGTTACTGACTAGTGTCAGAGTCTTTACAGCAATCCTCTTACTAAGCAAGCATGCAGCAACAGTGGAGAGGAAAACTCCCTTTTAACAGGAAGAAACCTCCAGAGAATCCTGGCTCAGTATAAGCAGCCATCCTCCACGACTCACTGGGGATCGAGAAGACAGAGCATACACAGTGATTTATAAACTAGTAGAAGCACTTTGAAAATGGTCCTGTAGTTTACTGGTAACCAGTGCAGATTTAAGAGCAGAACTGATGTGCTTGGTTCTTGTTAGGACTCTGGCAGCAGCATTCTGAATCAGCTGCAGTTGCTTCACAGCTTTTTTGAGAAAACCTGTCAAAAGAGCATTGCAATAGTCCAGCCTGCTGGAGATGAACACATGAATGAGTTTCTCTAGGTCTTATCTGGACATGACACCTCGGAATTTTGCTATTTGATGGAGAAGTTAAGACGCTGATCTAGTTATAGACCCATTTGCAGACCCATTTACACCTCCTTGTTGACAACAGTTGCATTTATCTGTTAGCTATCAATAAACACAGCTAAATAGCGGCAAAATAAAATCTATCAGCATGGTTAACACTAGTAGATCTGTAGGCTGCAAAAGTAGATGAAACAAGTGCAGTAAAGTTACATTTTACAGGTTTCCAGCTGATATTTGCTGAAGGCAGTGGTTAATGGCCAGTTATAGTGGATAAATCACCCACATCGTGGCAGACAAAGCCTCGTGATAGAATAAAAAGTAAAATGCCTGTCCCACATGTCCGTAAACAAGTTCTAGCATCTAATGACTTATGTACTTATTTATGGAGATGATAAGCCGGCCAGGGTAGAACCGAGCGACCAAGCGGATCCAGCAGCTGGGAGAAGCTGCTGATCAGTCCTGGAAAATAAACTTGTGTGAAAGTGACAACGCCAGTGTGGTGTGTAGCTCTGTTTGTGGCCTGCGGTAACTGTCTTGTTATAATATTTACACACAATGTGTTTTGTAATTGGAGCGGGTAGCCACTACTGTCGTTTGTGTTTCTGTTTCTGTTGCACATCAGAATAAACTGAGCGTCCATTAATCTCCAAAGACGCCTGATGTCACCGTGATCCTTCAGCATCAACCCACAAAACGTGGAGATCCGGTTTCTCCTTCGGTTCAGCTGTGAGAAGTCCAGACGCCCAGTTCTGAGAATTGTCATCTCACTTGCTAGCTATTTGAAATGCATTTGGAAGCTTTGTGCTAAATTAGCTTCGAGATGTTTGCTTTTTTTTCATCTGCACAAAGATGTGTTAGATTATCTAATGTAGGAATATCTAAACCCCTCGGTTTAATCTTGTTAGCTTAAATCATGGAGATACAGCTCTGGGTAATGGCTGGAGACGGTGTTCTTGCCCTTAAGCTAGTGTGGATGTGCGCAGTTACCTGGATTTGAACAATAACTTACAATGGGTCTTTAGCCTTAATGTGACCAGTGAAGCTCAGGTCTGAATCAGTTCTGACACCAAGATTTCTAACCTGAGTCTTAATTCGTCTGGCACCAAGTTGTGACACAGCCTCCATCCTATCCTTCTTATTCCCAAAGACAATAACTTCAGTCTTGTCTTTGTTTAACTAGAGGAAGTTTGACTGCATCCAGTCACCAACTTGCTCCATACACTGACAGAACGAGTCTAGGGGACCACAGTATGTGGTAGAGCTAGGTAGATCTGGGTGTCATCTGCATAACTATGATAGGCAATGTTGTTAATGTGAATGACCTGACCCATGGATTGAAGAGCAGTGGTCCAAGATTAGAACCTTGAGGGACCCCACATGTCATGGTGATCTGCTTTGATTTGTGATCACCAACTGAAACAACTATCAGACAGATTAATATCTCAGAGTTTGATAAATATAAGTTTAATTTGTCATTTACTAACATAAGATCTTCATTTAAAACTCTGGCATGAAAGGCAGCAGACGATGTGTCCCTACATGAAAGGAGATTTTGTTGTCTTTTACCCACAAGATCATGCACATTATTGATTTGAAAAGAGTGAGAACAGAATGATTTGGTCTCATAGATGGGCAAATTATCTTGATTTTTCTATCTACACATTTGTTTCTGGTTTTAAACCAGAGATATGATGAACTCATCCCTTTTTTATGACAGTTGCAAACTGTTCATGTTGGGTTCATTTGATTGTAACTATTTACAGCCATGACGTCTATCATTAAGTCATTCAAACAGCTGAACCACTTCCCTCTCAGGTTTGGGATTTTTTTCCTGCTTCTCTTTCACCCTCCTGTTCCTGTTGGTATTGATTGAGCCCAGCTGTAATTATATCTTCTGTGTAATTTCTTTGGCGTCACCGCTGGTTTCCTGACGGCTAATGGAGGTTATAAGAGAACGCTCCCAGAATGCATTGCACCTGGTGACAAGCAGTAATGTTTGACCCAATAAATGTGTGCGTGTACCGGTTTGTGCTGCAGAGATGCTCCAGTTCCTTGTCTCAATCACAACCTTTTATTTGTAAAAAAAAAAAAAAAAAACTTGAGAAAATATGTGAATAATTATCATTCATCTCAAGTCTTTAGGGGCTTGACTGACAGACCTTTCAGTGCAGAAACTTAGATGATTTGTTCCACATTGATCTAGTATTCATGTGCTCACTTGATTAAAATGTTGCATAAAAAGTGTTTTATCTTTGGCACAAGCATAGAAAACATCTTCATTTTAGACAGGTGGGTACACATCCCACCTTTACACAAGAGCTGCACAGGCTGACAAATGGAACATGAAGGAGAGTGATGGGAAGTAGGGAGAGCAGAGTTAAAGACTCACAGATAAGGCTTCAAACAGCTTGATAAAACTCTTCTCCTGACAGGATAGGCTCTGGGTGGACGTCATACAGCCAGGCTTGTATTTTAGATTGATTCACAAAGATAAGAGAAAGAGGAAGAGCACCGCACCACTCTGTCTGCAGGTCTTTTCATCTCTTATTCTGTTTGCTGTGCAGCACTTCACTTGTTTATAGATATTTTTCTCACATTATTCTGAAATAGAAGAATTCAAAATAATGTTAAAAGCTGCAATTCTTAAAAAATGTCAATGTGACACTCGTTTTCTGTTAGTTATTTCACACCACGTAAATGTAATAAATTGGTCGTCATGACAACCTTTGCATCATCGGTCACTCATGAAAAGAAAGGGCCTTTGTTTTCTTTATAATGACGTTACAAATAAACTTTTTCTCCTGTTTCTTTTAACCTTAAGATACCCACACCAACTTGTCGTTAAACGTCCCATACTTGGCCCCTGAGGTCTACATGGTGCCTTTCACCATCTCTGACAGCAGTTCTCCACCCAGGAGCACCTTCATAAACTTGCCAGGTAATGCTGACGTTTGTGCTCATGAGCCACAGGGATATCAGGGAGGTGACGGGGGGCAAAAGAGTTGGAACAATCAATAGGATCAACTTCTGCACGCCAGCTCATCCTAGCCCCGTTCTTGTTTATTAATGATGCAGCTGAACTTTAGGAATGATTTTTCCAGGCTTGTGATCACACAGCTCTCTTATGTCTGAGTGCTGCTGCTGAAACCTTATATAGAAAACAGAAAGACACGTAACTGCTCATGCAGAGGTTGGAGCAAACAGAGGTCTGGCTTTTCTAGCAGCTTATTGCATTTCTCTGTAATGTATCTTAGCTTAATTTAACTGAATTTATTTTTTATTTTTGTACTCTTAGATTCTCAAGTGTTGTGTTGTCCCTGTTTCATCCTGTTAGTGACGGTGTGCACCTGTAATGTCAGAGGTAACTGCAAAATAGCAGCCAAGCCGTTGGAAGGCATGCCAACGATTCAGTCTGCAGTGGGAACTCTGCTTGGCACTTTTGCAGTCATAGGTAAGTGCAGAGAAGCACAATATGTCCTTGTTTATTGGTAGCCATTTAATGGGCTGGTATGTGATGATATTGATTTTGTTCTTCCAGGAATCATCCTCATTATTGTATTTGTGAGACTGTCCTACCAGAACCCCAAAGAGCAGAAGAAGAGCAGCCAGGAGAGAGTTCCTCTGAAGATTTCAATCTGATTCATAAAATTATCGTTAAAATCCTCTCCCTTTCCACTGTATTAGCACCAATGTATTCATGTTGCTAATGCTTTGGTGCACTGTGAATATTTTAGTTCAAGAACTCTCCGGTTTTACACCTGGGGCATTATTTGTGTTTTCACTTTGCCCTTTTCATATTTTCAAAGAGTTTGTTTTTGAGTATTTGATATTTTATGGCTTCCCCACTGGGATGATGTTGAGAAAAAAAATCAATCTACATAAAAACTTATATCTGACAAAACATTTTAATGATTATTTCTGATTATTGTTTGTTTTTCTTGCAGGCTGAACATGAAAATAGTCTCCTAAAGCTATCTGGTGAATTATCTAGACGGTGAAATGCTAGGATTTGAAAGACCTGACAGCATGACATTACACTGTCACTGAGAATTCATGGACTCACCCATCTTGACTCACAACAGGGAAGGCTGTTGTTTGTGTAACATCCAGGAAACAGCAGAGAACGCCAGCTAATAGAAGCTAACCATTAGCATTAGCAACTCCACTACATGGCAAAACTCCTCCAGTCTTGTGCTAGGGTTGGGGTTAGGGTTAGCGTTGCAGAGTAAACACAGTTAGTGGTAGAGTCACATTGCTGTTAGCCAATCAGAGGTGAGATGTCCAAATATCAGGAAGTAAGGCTCCAAGTCCTGCCATGTGAAGCTCTCCTCCGATCTTATAGCTTCTTAGGTGTGTTCATGCTGTGTCGTGGTTCTAATTCCATGCTGTCGTTCTTTTTAAAACACAGAAACAGTTTCATTACTTTTTTCACCGCTACGTTTTGTCTGCGGCTGCAGACTTCCTCAGGCTGACGCTGATGGTGGCGTCACTTCCTTCTCCGTTTATCCGCGGGCAGCAGAGGACGTTGTCGCCCTCTGCTGCCCGCTCTCCCCTCTCCGACGATGCAATCCCATGCGCGGTCCAACGTGTAAACTCCATCGTCCCTGTTCATTGTCCCACATCCACGTCTCCTTATCTCAATTGCTTCTTTTATCCATCTTTTGTATTTTTGTTGTTCCGATCGTAAACACCGAACAACAAAAATACAAAAGATGGATAAAAGAACGACAGCGTGGAATGATCTTATAGCTCCTAAAACAGGCGCACCAGGGCTTTTTGTACCCAGATTATGACTAACAAGGCATTCATTCCCACTAGAGACCACTGCAAATGTATTGATTAAACAAGTGAACCACACTTTTAAAGTGTGTTTTATTGCTGTGAAATTACCGTTTTCTGTTGAAGTTTGTACCTGAAAATCAACGCTGAGAACATCTAGTACATGAAAAATAATGCTGCATTCTGAATGTGATTCAATCACACAGAACTGTTGTTGAAAATGCAGAAATCAGAACAAATGTGCTTGTTAAGGCTGCAATCTTCTGTAGTTTCACACATCAATAGAATTGAATTGTGAAAAAAGGACCAAATAACACGATTTATCATCTTCTCTCTTTAACATCTATACTGCAGATGTGAGCTTCTCACCAGGATTGTGATTTATTCCCTGCAGCTCCCATTCGTCGTCAACGTTTTAAACTGAAACAGACTGAAGGATGTTATTGCATTAGCAGCATGCTGCCATCTATGCGATTAAGGCTTTTCAAATGCTGACCCAGACGCCCCAACGGGCGAGCAGTGCTATATTCAGACTGAAGTGTTGCTATAAATAGCTCAACGACTGAAAGTCCACTGAATGACATTCACCTACCTACTGGTGTCCAACGACAAAACACCAAACTGAACACACTCGTGAAATAAAGGGTTCACTTGTTTGCTTGAAGGGGGGAATTATTTACTTCCTTGGCTCAGTTTCATCAAGGAAAAATTCTTTCCACACAAATGGGTGTAAATCGTTTTTATCACCAGCTGTTTGCTTAGACATTAAAAAGACATTAACCTGAGGCAGAAGACCTTGGAGCAGTTTATGCCCTTTTACCTGCTAAATGAAATATTGCCCCAGAATGCACTTGAACCTTGAAATAACTATTATTCACGAAGTGTTCATCAGTGCTGTATATATAGTAGATTGCATGAAGGATTTAAGGATGATAATGTGTAATTAGCTATAATAAATTTATTAGCATTTTCACATTACAATGCATCCTCTGGTTTTCTATATTTTAGGAAAACATTGTTTTTCTCAAGAAGAAACTATTAACCACATACTTGCATTGTGATAAATTATCAGAGAATTTGAAAAAGTGAGCAGCAATTTGTGTCGGCTCAAGCTGGGCAAGCGGCCCACCGGGACGGTGCCAGAATGCCAGATAGGCCAGTCTATCCCTAGCAGCGGATCTACTCCAAGCTCCTCCTGGATGACCAAGCTTCTCACCCTATCTCTAAGGGAGAGCCCAGACACCCTGTGGAAAAAATTAATTTTGGCCGCTTGTATTCACAATCTCTATTTCAGTCACTATCCAAAGCTCAGGACCATAGGTGAGGGTAGGAACGTAGATCGAAGAGCTTTGCCTTTTCACATGACAGGCTGGCACAATGCCCGCATCACTGCAGACGCAGCACCATTCCACTTGTCAACCTTGTGCTCCATCTTTCCCTCACTCGTGAACAGGAGCCCAGAGAATAATATGAAATAGCATTTACTTAGTAAACCTCATTTGGGTTCAAGTTATTAGTTTATTTCTGTAAGGGTCTGCTGTGGGGTAAACTTGCAACACACACACATATGTTTACATCTTCTAAACATCTCCACGGGTCTTCCAGGCGTGAAATGTTGGCGAGTAGCACATCAGGCAGAAATAAGATGGGAGGTATGCAAAAATAACCCCATTTCCATGTTTCTTTTTTCAAATACATGTGTGTAATATTCAGATAGTCACTCAGCTAGACACTGGCACAGCGAGCACTGGCTCACCACATGATCAGACAATGCTGCTGATGGCGTACGCACACACTGTCCATTTATGTCAGGCTATTTATGTCTCCAGCTAACCGTTCCAATCAAAGCAAGTTCCAAGTACAAAAAACAGTCAACTGAAAAGTGTCCTGGGAGAGATGAGAGAGCAGCAGGGGAAGGGATTAGCTTGTGATATGGGGTCAAACGCTACATTAGGGAGGTAATAAGCCTCCAACATTAGCCTTGATGTGTTCCATTCGACCTTCAGAGGACATCCACACATCAGCTGGCTGATTTTTGGGGGGAGAGGCCATTAAAAGATTCAGGGGCAATCACTTCATGTAGGTTGAGAGATAACTCCCAACATATGGGCGGGTGCTCATTGTCAGAAGTAGCAGAGCAGAGCAGCACAAACCCCACCCCCCACTGGACCCGCTGGTTTTCCATTGCTCTGTTACAAACGTAGACAAGTGTTTTTCCTAATTCCTGCTCCCTGTGGACCCAGTTTCCCCACAGCTCTGACTATTTTAGGCTTGTTTTAAGATTGCATAGTTTTACTCTGACTCTAGACTTGACAATTCCCCAATCAGATGCTGGAAACTGGCTTTGTGCAAGTTCCTGGGAATTGTGATTTTCTGTGAATTTTGGAATTTCACAAAAAGAACCGCCCTCTCCACATTTTGAAAAAAATTGTGCGTGAGAGAGCACATCCAGTTATCCTCGTGCAGTCTGTTTACAAGTAGCTGCGGACCTTGCAGCACTTCTTCTAGCAGTATTCTGAAATTACAGTTTTTCTCAATTGTTTACACACATTTTCTGGTACTTGAGACACAATTACCACAACATGTAACCAAGTACCAAGCCCCTAACCAATTTTGCGAAACTACAAGCACAATTCCTGCTTTGCACTCAAATTTCAAATCTAAAACACACTTTTCTCAAAACACTACACACAATTCTCTGCTGTTGGCACAATTTTCATACAGGAACTATCTTGTTCTCGCAAGGAACACACAGCTATTCAAATGTGCACACTGACTCATCACAAGGGCAAACACCTGTCACACAGTTGTACAATCAGCAAACAGAACTTTAGCATAAAAGGGTAACATGTGAGCTCTTCCGTGTTGGAGCAATGGATACCAACTTTGGAAACTTTTGGAGTGAGAGTTTGAGGAGGAGGACGGGGAGGATGAGGATGAGGAAGAGGAAGACCGAGGACCGTAATCTCTGAAGAGATCCGAGCCACAGGTCAACAGGGTGCAATTTGATGGAAACTCAGAAAGAGTCAAAGAATTGCGATATAACTATGTGCAGGTGAGTCCTGCAATTGATGCATACACTCAACACTGCAGTAAATTATACATATTTCAATATTGTAATCATAATGACTGTGCTTCACACTAGTGACCACTCCACGTTTATTTCTGATATTGTCATGCGTGTTTCAGAGAGTCCTTGAGCTTGAGACAGCTGCAGTGGAGCACCAGTTCATCTTCATTGATGAGGTTAGATTCAACCTCACAAAAAGACGAAAGAGGGGAAGGAATATCATTGGCCAGCGTGCCATTGTTGAAGTCCCTGGCCAGCGCGGAGGGAACATCACAATGTGTGCAGCGCTTGGCTACCATGGCATCATCCATCACCATGCTACCCTTGGCCCCTACAACTCCGCCCATCTGATCACATTCCTGGACACCCTACATAACACACTCATTCCACCAGACCAGGTAGATGGTCCAGAACAGCCCAGGTACGTTGTCATTTGGGACAACGTAAGTTTCCACAGGGCTGCTGTGGTTCGTAACTGGTTCACTGGCCACCCACACTTTTTAGTTGTTTATCTCCCTCCATATTCTCCATTCCTCAATCCCATTGAGGAATTGTTTTCTGCATGGAGATGGAAGGTGTATGACCGACAGCCACAAACCCGTATACCTCTTCTCCAAGCTATGGAGGACGCATGTGGAGATATAGCAGCTGATTCTTTTCATGGCTGGAATCGCCATGCTAGGAGATATTTTCCCCGCTGCTTGGCCAGGGACATCATTGCTTGTGAGGTGGATGAGGCGCTGTGGCCAGACTGCAACAGAAGAGAGGATGCAGCATAGTTTTATTGTTTTACTGTAACTGTATACAGTAAATTTCTGTTGGATGTAGTTTATGTGTGCAACTTTGTGTTGGTTGGGAATGGGATAAACATTGTGTACAATGTTTTGTGGGGAAAAGTAAAATAATTTCTACCATGTATTTGTGTGTTCAGAGTGTAAAAACAATATTCTGAAATAACAACACATGCAAGTATATACTGTCTGTAGCAGGTGTAACACTGAACCGAAAAGGCTTTAGCCATTATGATGAATGGAGAAGTAGTGTTTTCCATTCATCATCAACATTGAGCACATGAGTGTTCTGCTGGTTCTTATAAATGTCTATTCATTTGATGGTTTGTGTGTGTCATTTGACAACAAAATCACATTTTGAGGAGAAAGTACATTGTTTTGAATGTGAAGTTTAATTTTGCAGGTTAAGTGAGGGGTTTTGCCCATTGTGTGTGTATTTTCTGGATTTGTGTGTAGAGTTCTGAAAATATGGGGCATGCTTTCAGAAAATGTGTGTAAACAATTGAGAAAAACTGTAATATCTTAAATAGCATGCCGAACTTTAGCTTACCTGTCGAGCAGAAAAGCGGCAACAGAGATGTCCGTGGGGAGCCTAACCTTCCCTTTGCACTTGTGCAGGAATTGAGATCTACCCAGCAACAAGCACGTACAACGACAACCTTGCGCGAATGGTTCACCAGTGTAGCAGTCACATTTTATAGCGTGACGACTGCATTATTAATTATGACCAACAAGATGCGATGATTCCATATAATATGAAATTCCATATAAAAATGAAAAACAATCTGATTGATCTTTGAATGTTAAACATTGCAGGAACTCACAGAACCTTCAGTGCCAAGTTGTGGGAATCTGTTTGGGTTTTTGTATCAGAAGACCAGAAGACCAGGTGGCAGTATCTGCGATAAGGCGTTTCCTGTTTTCAGTGTTGCACTACGTGTAGCTGTTCGGTGTTTGTGGCTTGCTAAAAGTAATAAAATTTCTCTGTACTAGGAAATCTCTGAGTTATTGTAGCACATAAGTATGCTAAAACACACATTTTCTGTTGTTCCACCTAGCTTTTAGGGAACCATTTGAGTTCGCATGCAGTTTATTTGGTGTTGAACGAGTTGCTCGTCCAGTTAGCTTAGCCTCACCACGGCTACGGCTACTTCTGTCTCTGCTTCTCTGTCTCCCAGTGGCGGGCGGTGCGTTCCACCCCTGGGCCTTCAGTGATTTCCTATTCAGTCCCATCTAATTTAATACACCTTAAAATACCATCAATAGGACATCACAGCTGAAGAAACCTCTCTCTCTCTCTCTCTCTCTCACACACACACACACACACACACACACACACACACACACACACACACACACACACACACCAGTGGCTGGTCAAGACATAATTTCCAGAGTCTTTAAAATCAAACTCGCATTCCCAGTTGAGAGTAGGAAGCTAAGACCACAGATACTGTCAAATCTCAGAAATGAAAGACGGGTTTAAGAGATGAGACAATAAAATAAATAAGTAAAGCAAACACATTATTTGCATTTGTTTTGGAGAAAATTGCACCGCGAAACAATTGAACATGTTGGCGCAGCTGCACACACCACGTCATACACAATATAAATTGCATAGAAACAGAACACATAGAATTATTTCATTTTGCCATTTTATTTCGTTACCATTTATTATTAACAAAATGAAATGACAAAACATTAAAAA